TTTGCTAAACAAAAAAGGAAGTGTGACAAATGAAGTAAAGCAGACCTTTTCCCCCCTCTCACTGGCATCTAAACTGTAGAAATGAGTTGTGAAGTTGGGCCTCAACTACTCGGGAATACCTGGCTTGATTTCCCAACTTCTCATGTGTTCTTTTTACCATACTGTCGCTCCTTTCATTAAAGCTATGTGGACCTTGAGGTGTCACAATGGAGAACTTGGCTCTGATGCCTCAGGTAGTCTTGAAAGAAAGGTTCATTTCAACTGACTCATTGTCTTTCATTTATGTTTGAGCAGAAGGAAACATGCTATCAAAATGCCACTTGAAGCCATTTTTTTTACTGCAAGAGTAGTACTGTAAAATTGTATTTCCAATCAGTTTCTCTAGAAAGGTAAATTTCACACAATTTCAGCAGAAATATTTTAATAGACTGCATCCCAAGCTCTTGTTCTTCCCTCCGCAAGAACTGATGAGCTAGCCAGGAACTCCTGAAAACACTCCTTATGTGGTGCATCAAAAATGGAAAGAGAACTTTACAGCTCTCAACAGAAGTGAATGTACTTACTTCTCCTTGCCATGCTGGTTAACTGATCCACAGATATCCTTTGGTACTCTCTAATTTGGCTGAGCTAAGAAATACATCACAGCATTATGAAGACAGGCTGAGAAAGTTGGGGCTGTTCAGCCGGGAGAAGAGAAGCTGCGTGGAGACCTCATAGCAGCCTTCCAATATCTGAAGGGAGCCTACAAGGATGCTGGGGAGGGACTCTTCATTAGGGACTCTAGTGGTAGGACAGGGGGGGGTGGGTTTAAACTTAAACAGGGGAAGTTTAGGTTAGATCTAAGGAAGAAGTTCTTCACACTGAGGGTGGTGAGGCACTGGAATGGGTTGCCCAGGGAAGTTGTGAATGCTCCAACCCTGGTGGTGTTCAAGGCCAGGCTGGACAGAGCCTTGGGCGACATAGTTTAGTGTGTGGTGTCCCTGCTCATGGCAGGGGGGTTGGAACTAGATGATCTTAAGGTCCTTTCTAACCCAAACCATTCTGTGATTCTGTGATTACTGAGATGCAGTCAAACACAGCTGAAATTCTAAAGAAATACTTGATGGGTGTGAGTAACTGTAAGAAACTCACCCAGAAGACAAATAAAACCAATCATTTCATCACAGCAGCATGCCTCTGGAATATTCTGCTATTCCATTAACTCATTCCTAAAATTTAATTAAGCACTTAATGGAACAAAACTGGAAGCCCAGACAGGAAGGATAAAGAACATTCCTAAACCAGCAATTACAACTTGGAAAAGAGATTGCTGGGCTAACAAACTTACCGTGATGTGGAAATTGGGATGGTGACACACTTCTTACCTTGAGTACACAGCTGGTGAAAACCCACCAGTTTCGTGTACTGCTGACAAGCCAAAACAAGGCAGGAACTTTGTACAGTCACATTAGTAACCAAAGACCTTCTCCTGATGCCAGCTAAGCACTGATGAAAGCTGCATCTCTGTCGACCTGACACCCTGATTTTCAAGTAGCTACGAGATGTGAAAGTGGGCACGCATCTGCCTGCATCTTGCTTCTGCCTCTTTGCCAGTTTTCTATCAGGACTGCCTGGGGAGGTGGGGGCAGTGGCAGTGGGGAGCTTTTACTTGGCAGAGCTCCAAAGGGCCTTGGAACATTCTCCTACTTGGTTTCTTTGCGTATTTGTGTACAAATACTCAGTCTTATTACTTTGGCCTTCTTCTCCTTGAGCGGGGATACTGGTTCATAACATGGTAAAATTTGAATCCACTTGTGTTGATACATTTTTCAGCACCATAATAATTTTACTGCTTAGCAATCCAGTTTGAAAACTGAGTATACGAGTACATTTTACGTGGGGTATTACATAAGGATGGAGGCATGTTAATAGTTTTCTTCAGTTCCAAGACATTTGAGTTCTGTCAAAGTTCTCTTAAGATTACTGAAATCCTTCTTACCCTGGACAGACCCCAGCTCTAACTTCCCAGGTGTGGAGGAAGGACAATTGTTATTTATCATTTTATGAAAATACTAAAAGAAAGGTGATGTAAATCAAGATGCCTACTTGGAAGCTCTAGCAGGTTATCATATGCAAGTGGCAAACAAGCCTTCCTTAAGTCTTGTGCCTTTTCCTATGTGATAAGGTAAAAGCAATAGGCAGAAGACCCTTCAGATTTCCACTGTAATAACATATCTCAGCTTGGCAATAAGGTAAAAATAGAAATTAAACTCAGGCCTGCAGCACAGTCAAACTGCTTACTTACCAACAGCGGCATTTTTTTTGCCATTGCACTTCATCACGCAGCCAAAAGGGCTACAGGACAGATCTCAATCAAACTTCCAGACCTCACCTGATTGCCTGTTCACCTCTTCCGTGGAGAATATATACTCCTGTTCTAGAACACATTCTGCTCTTCCCAGTCCCCTCTAAGCACAACAGGCACACATTCCACCTCCACCAGCTGAACAGACACTACCACCAGCAGCTCCAGGAAGAGTGAGGCTACAAGCTCAAGTAACTTGCCTACCTCTAGTCTCAGGGACTAGCTGTTCATCTTCTCTGTAGTAGAGAGCCTACCTGTTTCAAAGGGCTATGCAGCTGTCTGATAGCCCAAAAGGCTAGAGGGGTACTTCCTAGGTGCGAAAGAAAAAAGCAGGAAAAAGTGATTGGAAATACCAGAGGTGGTAGAGAAGGAATTACCTAATTCCTGAGTGAAACCAGGATAAGCAAGAGAAATTATGTGCTTCAAGAAGCAACAGCTTCCTATGTTACTTCTGTGGCTAAAGCTTTTCAAGCTGTTTTTCTCTAGTTACGTTTAGGATTTAAGACTTCAAGCTTACTGTGCCTCCATCTCTCATTATGTGCAGTGGGTCTACCTAAGCACATTGTCACACACGCACCTTACAAGTGCCACGCATCTGCGAGCGCTCTCACTCCATGCTCCAGTCATACGCAGATGTCCCACCCAGCGCTGAAAGACTGAGCTGCACATTTATTTTCTTTAAATACCTGCATATATGACCTACTTGTACTACAGAATGCAGAAATACACTGGTAGTCTTTATTTCCCTTTCTATACAGGGAGAGGGTTGCCTACGTAAAATACCCTCAAACTGACGTAAGTCAGAACTTTCTCAGAGGGTCTTCAGTAGCAGGACATAACCAGTGCTGCACATTCTTTACCTTTGTATGCAGTTATGTCTAAGCAGCATTATGAAGGAAACCTGAACGTGATTCCAGTCTCTTTCAGATGTCCGAGCAACAAAAAAATGTCAATCAATCAGCAGGCTGAAAGGAATGTATGCACAATATGATTACTGGGGAAAAGAAGCAGTAGGATAATATAAAAGCAATTCAGCACTCGATAGTTTTAATGATGCTAAAATAGAGTATTCAAAGAACAAGCACAATCAATTTAAAAAGTCTTAATTAAAGCAACCAAGCACAACCCTTTAACCAACGTTTACCAATATAACATCTTCTTTCACTTTCCTGGAAACTTCCTCCAAAAATGTCCTCATTATCCAAGCAGCCAACTGCACAGTCCCCACAAAGCTATCTTCTTAGACACAGCTCTATTATTTTCTCTGCCTGATTGGAACAGACTGGCAAATTAGTAGCATGAATTCAGAGGCACAAATGAAGTCTATGCAGGACTTTCTGGAGCAGTTTCCCCTTTTATTTCTAATCTATTCTTATTACACTTACACATTTAGACTAAGAAGGGGATATACTCCCCAACGACACAGTGATGGGACACAAAGTCTCAGTCCAATTTGGAACCCTAGTACATAACGAAGCAGGAAACTAAGTCTGCATGAAGTCAGAGCCCTGAGTCCCTCCTTTTTCCACCCCCCCACCCCACCCCAAGATGCTTCATAAGCCAACAACTAGACCTAACTGAAAGAAGTTCACCAGCTAAAACCCCAGCCTGCACATTTTTACAGCTCATCAAGTCAGCCCTCTGACCACTGGCAGCTAGCAGCAATACACCGGGTCAGCCTTGGACAAGTGGGAAATCTTCCTGTCCATCCCTGCTAACATATAAAACCACAGGAGGGAAAACAGCAGAATTTCTACCCTCTTTTCCAGACTCAGATGGACAAGTCTGGTCCCAGGCGATGCTAAGTTACTGAATGTTCTCTCTAGCCCTCAGGCCCCACAGCATCCTTACCAAGGAGGCTCAGTAAGGATGGGAGGGGGAATCAGGGCAGAGCAGCAGTGACTCACCTGGGGACAGACTGGACCTTTTTCCTCAGCCCAGGTAAATCCTGCTCCTGAACACCAAGCAGCATCTGTAGCTTCATAGTTCTGATAGAGATGCTGAAGTCAGATAGAGATCTGTTCTTCAGCACTTCCCTAAGACACAGAATAATGTCTTCGTACAGTACATCACTGGCCCAACCAAATATGAACACCACAGTGTAAGACACACTCTGTTGATCACAGTACAACTGCAGCAGCAACCAAATGAGACCAAACACGTGACATTTACTGAAACAAAGGCATAATTAGGAATGCGTACAGCATCTATAGCCTTGACTACTACCCCGCCACTTCCATTCGGATTGTTTTGCACTCTGATCAGGAATCAGCATCAATCTGTACATTAAAAAGGATGTCTGGTTTTGGTTTGTTTGACAAAAGATTTCAAGGTTTCTAAGCAAGGTGGCACTATGTTGTTTCTGGCAACAGCTACTATTCTGGAGGAGAAAAATGTTTAAGTGAACATCAAGAAGGAACCAAGTATAACGTTAACTTGTATTGAAGTATGAAGAATAAATGGTACACCTGAAAAAGCCAGTACCTCAAACAGACACAGAATGCAGAGCACAACAGCACTTCATTGAAGGCAAACATTTTAAGATGCTTCAAATGCCCTGTCTAAACACTGGAATACAAGATTTTCCTGAGACAAAGTATAGAAGTATGAAGACTGAGTAAACCAACCACAGTTCACAAATGCATCCAAGCAACCAATTCTTCAATTTGCTTTATTTTTCTCTGCGTAAGGAACCCTGCACAGGCAATTCAAATTAAAACAAAATAAATATGTGAATATTCATGTAAAACTGTCCTTGCTAATGAACAATTATACACAATGTACAACTCTTCATGTTCACTGGGAGGGCTTACAAATGTACTATTCCCAACAAAAATGCACCAAAATGTCTCCATGCAAACTTATCAAAAGTGACCAAAAAAGGAGAAAAAAAAACTTACCCATCATCCTTTTTTTCTTTTTCCTTTTTTCCTTTTTTACAATCACAAAAAAATAAAAACATCTACATTTTTGTTACATTTAGAGTAACTAAAATGTGGCCACTGTCTATTAACATCTGGTTTTATGCTCCTAAAACATCTATGGTTACTGTAAAATTATGTCAACAATGAATTGGACTTAGGGCACTATTTGTAGTAAAAGGAAGATGATTTTGTTCACAGAATGTCAATAATCTGTGTCTGAGCCCTCTGCATTGTCCACATTCCGTGAGAGCATATAATTGTCCATATCTATAGACCTGCAATTATTGATTGCATAGCGCAAACGCTCTGCCATGATTAGTTGACTGGAGTAAGGTGGGAGCCTCAGTTGAAAGAAACAAGTCTGTGAGGTAGGCAAGCTGTCGTAAGGCTGTGGAAACGGATAAAAGGTGGGACACTGTTAAGTTGTGAATGAAGCAAAACCCGCAACATTATCCATATTCCATTGCTCCCTCCCTTCTGTGCCTCTGTCAGTCAGCATTTTCACATTCTATCTCGAAATTCCTTTTAAGCAACAGACTGGCCTCCCTTATTTACATCATTTGTTTCATCCTTAAGGAGGTGCAAAGTGACTGCTGTGAATACCTCAACCCAGCAATGAAATTCAACTATTGGAAAAGCTGATCACACTACTAGTTAGCAGCTTAATGGGAGATACCAAGCCAACATTCAAAGTACACACCAGGGTGGGCCTTAACACGAGGCAATTAGAGAGACATCTAACCAACAGCGACAGTCAAACCCCTAACATCTTAGATTTTGCCAAGTTTTTGATTCACGTAGTTCACAGAGAACATGCTTCCACTGCACAAAACCCATAAGTAATGCCAAATCAATGCATCCTGTACACAGAGCAACACGCTGTAAATTCATCACGGTGGTTTTAAGCCATTCACTGGTGCTCATATGTTGCCACTTACACGTATTTAAAACTTTTTAAAAGAGAGTGAAAATTATCAAATGAGAAAAGGTATTGGAACAGAAAATTACTGTAAGTTACAATAGGAGACGGTTTGTTTCTTGGCAAGAAGCTCTTTTGACCTCCCATCATATAACTATAGTAAATGCACCAAATGAATTTAGATGCAATTCATGCAGTATGTGTCCTTCCACACAATTAAAATGTTTGGTTTTAACAGCTCAGAGCATATCCAATCCCATACTTTCCCTATAAATTTACAACTACGGAAACCTGTCTCCTATTGCCGAAGGACAAATTATACTAGACAGGAATATAAAACAGACAGACAAACAAACAATGTCAACAACAACAGCATCTGAAAACAGCATCTTACCCTATCAACCTTCATTATTTGGAACCGCTGAGATATATCAGCTGTGTTGGCTGGCAATCGAGATCTTCCTGACACAAACCTCATAAAAAGGACTCTCTCCTCATTTGAAAACTCTTCAAGAGTGTGCCAGAACCACTGAACTAGCTGATGCTGCTCATCGACTTCTCGGTAGCGCACAACTTTCTTCAGAACTTCAACTGATATTTCTGGCATTCCACAGACCATTTGCTCCAACTGCTTGGCGGTCAGAAGAGACAACAAAGGAACTGGAACAATCCAAGACATTCCTTCTCTTACAGCAGCCACCTGTTGCCCAAAAAAGAGGAGATATTTGCAGTGGCACTGTCTTACCTCTGCCACTTACTGTGCCATCCAAATGCAAAAGCAACATATCAGCTGAGGAATGGGATAGAGAATTACAGAACATCTGACAAATACAACCTCTCATGCATGCATGTGTTTTGCATGTGTCTCATGCAAGAATGTGTTTTGATGCAAATGAGAAGAACTTAAGAAAGTGCAAGTTAGCAGCACAAATGATGATGGCTAAACTAAAAAACTGTGTAAATACATCTGAGCTGGAGCAAAGTCCTATTTGTAAGAAGTCTGTACTTGTTCTAGAAGACTTAGGATTTGGTACCTCTGATGAGAAAGTTACTTTTCTAATGCAGCTAATGTCACGCATGCATCTGTATCTTGAGAAAAAAGGACAAGAATTCTCCTAGCATGTAATTAGTCGTCTGCTTCCACAACAGACAAAATACATGAAGCATGCAGATAGGCAATTAACACTTCTCAAAAGATTGCATGAAATAGTTGTAGTTTCTGTACTAAAGCAGATGAGAAATAGTTTGAAGACAAAATAGTTACTTTAGCTTGTCTTTATGTTGCTATCATGTCTAAGGAGAGTGCACGGCACGCACAACAGCAGGTTCATTTCTCAAGCAGCTCTGACAGTTGGCAGTGGGGCTACTCTAATGGAAGACAGGTCCTGATTTCTAATGCTCTTTTGTTAACTGAGCAATTACTAAAAAAAATAGGACTAATTTAAAACAGAACCCCAAAGCAGTTGGGGGGAGGGGTGAGGAGTAAGCCACAGGGACCCAAGGTGAGATGTGGAAAGCCAAGACTGTCTTATGCCCCAATAAACTGGAATGGAAGCTTGCATAAATAAACCAAAAACTATTTGCACTAATGACGGGGATATGGTCATCACAAGATTCTTACCTGACGGTCCATTTCATGGAGTCTGTACTCAATTGCCCTCTCCACATATTCTTTCCTGTTTGAAAAGGTAAGTGGGATACTGTTCCCTCCGGGGATTATGGGAACCATTTTTCCATCAGCACTTTGGCCAACAAAAGAATCTAAAGGAATCATCTGCAAAACAGGAAAAGTATGTTCAGTGTTAAGTCACCACTAGTGATCTAAAGTTAGTATTTTACTATCAGTCACCTAGAACTAAGATCACAAACTATTCCAAATGCATAGGAAGTCCCTGTTATCCCAAATACGGGTACGCTGGATTCTATAAACACCTAAGTTTAGGTCAGTCTGACAAAGTAACTGCTTTCAGAATAAATCTAAAAGCTCCAACTTTCATATCTTACCTCATGGAAATTTTCTTCAGTAATCCCACTGTCTTCAATGTGAAGAATGCTGTTGAGGGTCTGCACATAGAGCAGATCTACCTCCTCCAAATCCTCCAAGATGAGTGGGATACAACAAAGTTGCTTCCAGACCATTGGAGCCAAATGAAGATCTAATGGCTTTTTTGTACGAATAGCTACACCCATGAGAATGCCCAAGAACTTAAACTGCATCAGATGTTCATCTAAACATGCTGAAGGGTTAAAGAGAAACCTGGAAGAACAAAGAAGCAGTGAAAATGCTCTAGTATCACTTCCATCCTACTTCATTAGAAGTAAAAAACAAAATATTGCTAAGCAGAGTGTAGTAACTGTCAACGCAATTATCAGCAAGGAGTGTCCAAATCAGAGTATTACTGTTATCTGTTGATATTGAAATAATGGAAGCTGAGATAGGCAGAACTAATCTTGGCCCCAAAGGCTGGCATTCTTGATTGCTGTTCTGAATTCTGCCATCAGCAATCCAGCAAGTTCATGTTAAAACCATGTCTTCCCTTCCACAATCAAGTAACATCACAACTCAAAGGAAAAAATATCCTAGAGAAAATTGTGAAGTCTCATCGTTTGGTATAAAACAGTTAATGGAAGATTTTAATTTTCACCCACTAATATCTGCAATAAAAGCAAATCCTGGACAGCTTACCTGTCTCTATTGTAGCCTACTTCAGCTGTAGCATTTGGGGAAGGAATAAGCAGGTCTACTATTCCAGTTTCCAGTTCCTTAAAAATGAACAACAAACACGCTTTCTTAGACACAAGGATAAAAAAACCTATTACGGAAATATTATGACTTTACAGCATTACAAGACACACTATTCCATTATAGTGATAATTATGTCTTACAAATTAAGGTGAAAAGCTGAAGAGAAAATAAACATCGTAGGGATGATTTTTAGTAAGAAAAACACATTCATTTCAAGAGTTGCCCTTAGGTCAGACTATAGATGTTATTTCACCGAGACTGGTCTGCAATACGTTCCTGGTACCTGCTTCAGAACTAATCAGAAGCTGTAAGATATACACACCCTACCAGTGCCACTTGTTCAAGAAACAAAAATGAAGAAGCCTTCAGTTCCCAGGGGAATCTGAAAAGGCAGCTCTGTTGACAATAGTAATAACATCTTGGTTACAGACAGGCAAAAATGTTCACTTTCTGCTACTGATCTCCTTCACAGCACTGAATCCGAGAGGTGACATGTATCTTTGGGTATGTGAGGAAGCCTGAGGTGCTTCTGTATTGTATGCATGGAACATTCTGTAATCACAGAACACAGTACAACTTCTCTTACAAAAGGTACTTGCTGGACAGAATGAAGGGCTGCAAAATGCTCCCATAACATGTAAGGGCCATTTCAGAACTCCAAGGGGCCTAATGTAGTATGGCCTTATGGCATCTCCTTGTCATAACCTACATTTCTTTATCCCAGGAGACATCCCTAAGTAGGCAGCTCTAGCTTTGTCGCTCAAGACTGAAGAACAAGTATCTGCTATGCTGCAAAAAGGCAATTTGAGAAATACTAAAAGACATCAGAGAGAACAAAACCTCTACCCAGACATTCTGAAGGAACAGGTTTTTCATACCTGACACATTTCTGTAATAGTGTCATCAAACACTCCACCTGCATCATCAGCTCCTTCTCCAACCAGTTTCACTTTCCAGGCACGGGAAGGTAGGCGAAGGTCTGATGCATTCAGCTTTACCACTTGCCTTGCTATCTGTACAAAAATGGGCTTGCATTTCCGACCTCTTTCAACAAAACCAAACCAACAGAAAAACAAACAAGACACAAAGAGAAAAGTTATGAAAAATACATGAATATTCATCTGAGGTCTAATACAATACCTGTGAAACAATACTGACCTGGTTGATATCCTTTTCACAGTAATCTGTGGCCCATAGTTTTTGCCCTGAACCATAGTTTTTCCTATGGAGCGCACCATGGGGAGCGTATAAACGCGTGGTGCCAGTAAGGGCCTTAGCTGTCCTTGAACTATTCCCCACGTTCCAGCATTGTAATGAGATGTACTGTTCTGTAATAAAGCAGTGTGAGAATAAGCTTATTAATAGAGAATATTAATTCCATTCTTTACAGCATAAACCCCTTCATAGTAATAACTAGCACTTCAGTGTTTCGGGAAACTGACACGTCAGCACTTTTTGGTTTTTGCTTTGAGGCCAGCTTTTGGAAACTGCAACAACGTTTTGACAATGTTTGCTTTAATCTAGATTTATATCTTTTCTGATTCATTATAGAAAACTCATAGAGCCTGTCACCAAGATCCATCTTGATCTGGTCAGAAACTCTCTAGCAACATGGAATTTACCTGGTTATTGGGACTGAGGTTAAGTAATCTCCATGAAGAGTACATGAGGTCAGAGAAATGGTACAGCAGTCTGAGCCTTGCTCTTACTGTATGAATGCTCACTTCTTTCAGTGCCCCATACTGTGGTGGAATGGCATCAGGTAAACCAAGTTGTAAAGGCACTGAAACACCTACCACAGAAAAAGAAGAAAAACATTATTTCATAAAGGGTACCTGTACTGCTTTGGGCTGGGATGGAGTTGATTTTCTTTGTAGTAGCTTATGTGGTGCTTAGCTGCCTACTGGAGTAAACCACAACAGCAGCAAAATTAAGACACTAAGATAATTTGAGAACCTGCATGGATATAAAATAAACCAAATTTTGTCCCAATGTTCCAAAGTTCTTGTTGCACCCATTCCCCAAGAAACACTAAGAGTGATTCAAATGCCCTACAAACAGGGCTGGTTCTTTACCTGGTGCTCTTGGCGGAACTGGCGGAGCTGTCCAGGCAGCGCTGTGGCAACGTCCTGGTGAAATCTGTCGAACGTTCTTCCCTTGCAGGACTGTTATGAGGGTTGGTTCTCTGACATGGTTGGTATGGCCCAGTCCAAGCTGACAATGTAAGAGGGACAAAGAAGAATCAACAACTGTGATGATATTTCTAAAACTCTGAGCAAAAATTCAGAGCAAATGGTAAAAAATAATATTTATCTACAGCATATACTGCGATAAAAACTATTTACTATATATCTATTTCATTATGCTACCATTTACCTTTTATTTTCAATAGAATATTGCATCTGTACTCAATGGGAGTGGCAGACCTGGGTGTCTAAGAGACCTTAGAACATGCAGAAATCTGTGCTGTAGGTCAGCTATGCTGCACAGTCTTTCTCATGCATTGAAAACACAGCTCATGTCATTCTGTAAATTCCTACAGTAGTTCATGAAAACAACATTTGTGAAAGAGAAAGTTTACTTAAGCTGTTCTGACTTCTTACTGATGGGTACATATATTCTGAAAGTGAAAGTTTCATATTATAACTGTTCAGGGGTTTGGTTGGTTGGTGGCTTGGTGGTGGTTTTTTTTTTACTACATAAAAAACAAATCGTTTGAACTGCAAGTAAGATCATATAGACCAGGCTTTCACGATGAAGTTCCTCTAAATCTTTTATCCGAACAATTTTTTCTCTTCCAGAAACACAAAGTAATCATCCTATCAAATGAATATAAAACCAAACCAAAAACCAACCAAAGAAAAAAAACCACAGGCTCCTCTCAAAGTATTGTAAACAACTTGCTCAACAACCCTTCTCAAAATCTCAATTCTATAATACCTGAAGACAAACTTTGCCCGATCTTCCCAACACATCAAGAGCTAACATATCGAGAGGTCAAGAGGCTCTTTCCTACACTTGTAGCAGGCAGAACTGTCCAAAAGCTGAAGTGCTTTCAAAAATGAGCTATACATGGGTGAGGACTTTTAAGAAGAAGGATAAAATTAGGGTCCCGAAGGAAACAGAGAATTTATTATTGACAACGTTTTTTCTGACTTGAAAAACTGAGTTTCTAAATAAAGTTAGTTTATATTTTCTTTATGAAAAGCAATTAAATAGTTTACAAACCTGATTGACACCAACCATGCATTTTATGATGCTGAAAAAACTGATGACAGTTTAAGAATTAGGTAAAAATTTATCTTTTTTTAAAGAAAGCTTTAACAAGAATAACTTGGGTAGAATGTTTTCAGTGCTTTCCCAAGCTGCTGCCATGTAATAGCATAGGAAAAAACTAAATAATGGAAATGCCCAAAACGTTCTTATGGTTGAGAAGGGGAAGGAGTAGAACAAAAATAAAAGCATTCTTTCCCACCAAAATAAAGACATCCTGAGCACATCTGTAAAGTACAATTCTAGCCTTATAAAGGTGAGAAATAAACAGAAAATAGTACATACCTGCCCTTCAGAGTTGCTACCCCAAGCATACACATCCCCTGTAGATGACAGGGCCAGAGTATGCTCTGCTCCTACAGCTATGTCTTCAATGAAGATTCCTGACAGTACGGGAACTTGTTGGGGTCTGTTGTGATTTCGAGCGCGACCTTCTGGCAAACCTATTAGGCGATCTGAAATTGCAAGTACATTTATGTCTATAAATGTAAAGAACATTAAAAAGCGAAATTCACTTGCAAGTAGAAGTCAGGGACATAAAGCAATTCTTAATACCCGTGGAGCTGGGACACAAGAGCAATTGCTTAGGGAGAAATCTAACACACTTCCGACAAAACAGAGCTTCCTACAGTGCTAATATTGCTAAAGGTGTTATTTTCACTTTAACTCTGAAACAAGATCAAATTCTATTAAAACCTAAGTATCTAAATATTGATCATATAACACAATATATGTATTATAATATGTACATATTAACTGATTTGAGAAGTTTAAACATGTTTAAGTCAGTGCAGTTGGAAATTCTTCTGTCCAGATTTTTAAACAGCTTGTGTAGGCATATGTTTTATTATACAAACTAAACTTCTAAGTAACTCAATGTTTTTGGACATGTGAAATTCAATGAAGTTTTAGCAAAACACTCTTCAAAAAGTAAATTAGTAAATTGAAAGGCTGTCCTGAGATCAAACTAGAGCTACAAATCTGGATTTTAGGCATGTGTTAAAATTGCAACATTGAAGTTCCAAAATTCAGGCTAGATCAGCACAAATCAAACAAGTAGCATTAGGTTAGTCTTAAAAATATGTCTTAATATTCTTCCTTTTCACTTGCAAGAGACACAAACTACTACAGATGGAAGAGTCCAAATACCAGATTGTCCTACCTTGTCCGAAAGTATATACATGCCCATCTTTTGTCAGTGCAACAGAGAACTGGGTTCCACAGGCAACTTTTTTAATTCCAATTCCACAAAGAATATCCACTTTCTATGGGGTAAGAAAAAGGAAGAAGAGCTATGGGATTACAAGGATATAGCCCAAAAGCAACCATGAATTTCATCTGCAACTCCTACTTCCCAAAAGAAATTTTATAATTCCCACTCAGCAATGCATACATTGTAGGATTACTCCAATTAATGCTTGTAAATCAATACATGAAACTGAGACAAAGTTTTCTCTTTTTTGGAACTAGCCCCTTATTCTATGTACAATGATTCAATACACCTTTTTTTTACTGGGAGTAAGCAGGGAGTGGCATGGGAGGAAGTAGATGAGTGTGTAAACAACCTTCCCCCCATGCTCCAAAATAAGAAAGCTCTCTTCTTTAAGCTGATGCTAAGATTTTCACTATTTCTATTGCGACTGAGATAAGGTCACTACCATTTACATGAAATCCTTTCAAGTATCAGACTCAGCATAATGCATCGTCAGAGTCATTTACGTCAGGGTGTATTAGAGCAGTACAGTATATGGAATTCATAGTTTAACTTCCGAAAATTACACTCTGAGCGCTGTGCAATGCATTTAACAAAACTGAACATTTATACAAAGAGTAATTTCTTCAGGAGCTCCAACCTGTGGCGAGGACTTGGCAGTGGAATTCCCCAAACCAAGTTTACCATAATCTCCATCTCCAAAAGCCCAAACCATTGAGCCATCTGTTGACACAGCTACAGTATGATTGAGTCCACAGGCCACCTGGTTGGGAGAAATACACTATTACCACAGTTTTTGCTAACTTCCTTCTAACACCCTGACTACATTTAAGAAAAGAAAAACAATGATTTAAAAAAATAAGTATCCTTTTAAAACCATTACAACTTCCACTGCTTATTACAGTGTTTTGAAGACATTTAGGACCACAGTAGTATTTTTAAGGTATTTGCCTCCTCTCAGCTCCTAGAACCAAAGAATGCTACATATGTTCGTTGTTTAAGATAGAAAATAGCTCATGAATTCATGCTTAGAAATGCCTAAATCTTGACATTTTAAAATGTTAAAAAACAGTTTTGCAAAAACAGGATCAAAAGAGTCAGGAAAGTTATCATTTAAAAAATGATGCTAGTTAAATTCTGCCATCAAAACCAAAATGAAAGCCATGGTTAAAAAGAAACAAAAACCAGAACACTTGGATACTTTGAAAACATAAACATCAGCTGTAAACAAAGATACACTGCTAGCTTTAGATAAACCATGCCTGTCCAATCTGGTAACCTTCCAGCGCCGTCACTCTTTCTGGAAGTTTCTTGTTGGAAGTATTCCCAAGTCCTAATCGACCATAATCACCATTTCCAAACGTAAAAAGTTTGCCGTCTGCTGTCACCACAGCTGAGTGCTTGAAGCCACATGACATCTGGAAGCAAAATAAACATAATTTTAGACACATTTTAAATTTGGGGGGGAAATTCTATTAGCTATTATATGCAAGTATGTAATGCTTTTCCTCCCCTACACAATATTCACTTTACAAAGAGCTAAAATACAGCTATTTTAGTATTAATGATTTCTCCAACAACCTATCTCTTCTTCTTCTCAGTGGTAACACTGAGGAGGAAGGCAGGTAGCTATCTGCACGAAGAAACACTGTCAGGTGTTCTATTATTCATTTTTACCAATTACTATGTTCTGCCAGCAGATTGCTCTTGTGCTGTGAATATTTTCTGGTTTTATAAAGAAACCTCCAGTCAAAGTCAAACATGTTTTGGTGCACTGTTATAATCCACCGTCAGTACTTAGGAGGAGGTCTCCATGCCTAGATTTGTAGGTCAAAGTCACTTAACAAGGACCATGGGTAACTTCTAAATCATGTCTGTATTTCGACAATCTTTTGGTCATTCCTTTTTCCCTTGCTTTGTCTAATTTTCAGTCGTCTCCAACAATAATTGTCACTTGACATCACAAATCAACAGTGAGCTCTGTGATGTTAACATCCTTAACTGGAAATTATCAGCTGGATTCATCATGCTCAGAGAAGTGAAAACTTGATGGTTTTTATTCAGTACCTAAATTCAAACTGCCAAGACTTGCAATGGTTCTGGAACATTCTTAGCACTAGGTTACCCCATGATTGCAGCTTGCAGGAGACAAAGAATAATTTGGTACCTGCACCACTTCTTCTCCTTGCAGAGCCTCAATTTGTCTGGGCCTGCGCTGTCTGTCACTGTTCCCATGGCCCAGTTTGCCATAATCTCCATCTCCCCAGCTAAAGACCTCCCCACTTTCTGTTAAAGCCATGGAATGTCCATCAGATCCACAGGAGGTCACCAGCTGTGTTACAACAAAGCCTGTTAAAGCAAAATGAGAGAACAAAGATTAAAATAAATTGTAACAACTCCTAATATGCATTTATCCAAGTGCTCCTAGTGGTACCCAATTAACTCTGGGGAAAGGAACCAACCACAACCACAGCTTTCTTGTTATAGCAATTGTTATAGCAATGTTACCTTCGGTTTTATTTTCAACAAACCCATAATTCTCTCATGTACAAACTGTGCTTCTGCCATTAGTTTTAAAATTAAATGCTCCTATCTTGAGAGCAACTACTTTACCCTGAAGCCTTCTTAGAAGTAATTAATTTTAACATAGAATCCCAGACTGGTTTGGGTTGGAAGGCAGCTTAGAGCTCACACAGTTCCAACCCCTGCCACAGGCAGAGACACCTTCCACTAGAGCAGGTTGCTCCAAGCCCCATCTAAGCTGGCCTTGAACACTGCCAGGGATGGGGCAGCCACAGCTTCTCTGGGCACCCTGTGCCAGTGTCTCACCATATTACTACTTAAATCTTCAGAAAAAAATTTGGGATATTTCTTAATTTTTTTTAATTAAAGACAACAATATTTTATGTGTAAATCTGCAAAACCAGCATCAGTGCAAATAATTACATTAATCACCCAAATGCTTAGTTGTGTTTTATCAACTGACTCATCTCAAAGCCACAATTTTACCTTGCAGTGCTGAAATGACTGTTAACACATGAAGATCATCAGAATTCCCTTGTCCCAGCCGCCCGTAGCTCCCTTCTCCACAAGCCAACACTGTGCCATTAGCTTGAATGACAAAAGTACAATTCTGACCACAAACAACCTAGTTTAGAAAGATAGAAAGTTTTAATGATTTTTAGATGCAGCAACATTGCAATAGCTATGTTATAATAATCTCTTTTATTTTTTCTTTGCAATTATATCAAAAGACTCCTGTCACACTGCAAATACCTTTATGATAACCCTATTAACAGAAGACTTCACTCACCCCATGTTTAACAGTTCTGTTACCGAATCACATCATAATAAAAATTACTTCATTGAAATTTACTACTAGTTTTTGCAAACCTTCCTCCAGCGAGAGAAATCGCAATGTAATCCTGCCTCAGACTTAGTTCTGATGTTTCCATCCTGCATGTCAACGTTATTTTGGAAAGCAAAACCGGCACAGGTATTATGTTAAAGCTGTGCAGGTATTTTCAAGTCATGCTTACATCAAACAATTCTGTCAGATTTCAGTGGCCTCTTGATGTGAATTTGTCAAATAGTTAAAGACTTCCTTTTTAGTGAACACACATGTTTTGGGGGTACTTTACAGTAAATTCAAACAAAAAATTGAAAGGACATAAGAGCGAGATTTTGTCAAACTGTACAAACAACACACAGTGATCACCTGCTGAGCCTGAGAGAATGAAGGTGCTGCTACTGGGATCATGACATTTCTACCAGCTTCTGCTAACTGTCCGTGTCTTCCTGCTCCCCACAGATACACATCACATTTACCTCCCAGGTGCCAATCCTATGGCATAACATGAAAGAATGCTTTAGAACACAAGTACTTTCAATAGCTTATGAAGTTTACAAAGAAAAGGGGGGGGAGGGGGAAGGACGGAGAAAAAACCCAAACCACATGAATTATACTAACCTCTGGCCTCGATGTTGCCCAAGACATTATCTGTTCATCCATACCATTGATCCATTTACTGTTATCCTGCACAACAAAAGCCACAGTTGCTGCATTTAGTTCAAGAGATACACATGATTTTTCTGTGATGTAATATGTATTTTTCCTTCCTGAGAACAATATTGACATTCAAATGATTCTAAATGGTACAGCAGTAAGAATGAGCGTGTGCAGACTCAAATGCTTTATTTTCATCCACAGGCCAAGTGTATTTCCCATCTAGCAATGACACTGTTATCCATAACTTGCAATCCAAATCAAAAAAAAAAAAGAAACCAACCAAAATTAATGATGAAGTAAACTTTTCCTATGTCCTTTTCAAGCTTTTTCAGGTTTTAATTGTAAATACCGGCTTAAAGTGGTAAAAGCTTGCTCATAAAAAAAAAAACCTTAATCCCAAATTTCTATTTTGGTTTACATATCATAACAAGTCATAAAGACAAAATCAACACTAGCAAAATAATTTGGTGTGAAATATGCCAAAATGTTACCCTAAAAATACCATTGTAAAGCTCTACATTTCTTGCTTTTATCCCATAGGGAAATTACTGTCACAGTTTTGGGTTGTTTTGGTTTGGTTGTTAACATTCAACTGAGCTGTGCTCATTCCACACACTCAGAGCAATCTTTATGGTATATCCTAACCAGGTAATTAAAAACCAAACTCACACTTATTACTGGTGTTTACATTAATATCAATCTTTACAGCTCAGAGACGTTAACTGCAGCATCCTATATGCTCAATAACACATATGCTCAATAACAACACACTATGACAATACAGCACATTTTACCATTAGGAGAGTAAGCTCATCCTCCGGAACAGGTTCCAGGTCTGGAACAGTGAAGGATTCTGGGAACTGTGCTCCCTTGGCCAGAGCTTCAGCAGCTTTGATAGTAGTAGAGAAACACTCCAGCCATGCCCATTCTGTGGGGTTCCAGGCTGCAGGATCAGGGAGGCAGCTCTGGTGATGAGGTGGTACTGGGGGGTTGCACAAGAGCTGATCCAGGTGAAGGCCCACAGCAAGTGATGCCAAGCACTGCATGTAAGGACTATGAACAAGCTGGTCTCCACAAACCACATGGGGCTAAAGGTGAGGGGAGCGGGAGAGAGATTGAACATGCAAAGTTAGAAATACACCTTCAATTCAGAAAAAGGAGTGCTTCAAAGCTAGTCCTGTAGAAAAAAATACTTTCCTCCACACTTAATCAAAGTTTGTCTAACACTTTAAATATCCCCAGAATAGAAGCAAATTAGCTTTGACAGTACTGAAAGACATTTGCATATAGGATGTAGGAAAGTCTTCAGAGTTCTCTGTGGTGAAAGACTGAAACCAGTTGAAATTCAAACAGTGACCATGTTCAGACAAATTGTCAATGTTCACATTAGCTCTTCTTACCTTTTCATAAGCATACTGCTCCTGAAGCATTATTGGCAAACGTTCCAGGAAAGCTCGCATGCATGGAGCCATATTTAATCCTAGAACTCCTTGCTGTTTCAGTGCGGTCCTACATGTCGCAAGGACGTGATTGGAAGATATCCACTCTGATGTACAGTTCACTACCAGCACATCCTGTTTAACAGCAGTCACAAGACACACCAAAAATTAAGAAGTCATAGAACAGGATTATTCAGTTCCATCAATTTATCACTAATCATCTTAATTTCCATAGGGGCCAGAAAACACACAAGCTTCCACATTTTTGTCTCTGTTGCTGAATAATCCACTGACAAATGCTAAGGAGTAGCCATCTCCATTTGCCCCTTCCTCACATTTCCATGGCAACACTACTACTGTCACTCCAAGGAAGAATACAAACATGGTAATGGTGATAAGCAGAGTTCATTTCAGTGAATGCTGTAACCTTAGTTTAGGATCTGCCTTGTAATATGACCTTCAATACTCAGTCTGAATTCTGAAAAGACTTTCTAAGAATCCCAGAATACTTGGACCCACATGCAACATGACTCTGCTAACAGGAGTTATGATTCGTGCCATATTTGTCTTCATTTGTTTATCTTTTGGGATCATCAACTGTTATGGAACTTCTGTTCAGATGCCAGCAGTTCCTGACACAGCAAACATGGAAGAAAATTCTGCTGCTCCCGAAAAACTTCGGAGGTTAAGGCTGCTTTAAACTAAGTTAGATCCCTGGAGTAGTATTTGCTGGGGGGGAATGAAATAATTCTTCATTCTGCATGAAGGAAAGAAATAAACCTGTCTTCTGCATACTTTTTGTTGCCTATTTACAGCTGCTGCCATCAAACAGAGAAGCTGATTTATCTGGTGTGCAGCATCCTTTATAACCACCACTCAGATTGCATCGTGCCCCTCCAGATTAAACATGGGATACTGTTAAACAAAGCCAGTCGTCTTGGGGTCAGGTCACTGCTGAAAGCCAAACCAACGCGTCTTGAAAATCCAGCAGAGTTAGAGTTCAAACCCAAAAGGAGGGGGATGGTCAAGACAGGCAAATGGCATTTTCTTTTAATAAACAATTTGAAAGAACATTAAGACATAGGGTCACCTTTGATCTGTTAGAGCAAGCAGCTACTCCAACTTCAGGTATCCATACTGCAGTCTGAATAGCTCCAGAACCTATCACAACACTCTGTAATACTGAACCATCCTAAGAAAAGAAATGGTTCGAGTCAGTGTGTATACACAGCTACTTTTCTGTTTAAATGCATGCAGTCATATTCCAAAGGGATTATATTCTCCCATGATGATCAATAACTATTTAAAAACCAAAATGCTTATACTAAAAGCAAAAAAGTATCTAGTATTTTCATCATATTAAGGAAAAAATGTAACTAAGGATTTAGAAGTGCTTAATAATCCACATTATCTGACTTTTGGAAAAGTTCTCCAAGTAAGAGTATACTGTTCCCAACCATGCGGCTAGTTCTGCAAAACCCACCTAACATGTCCAAGCCTACAGAATGAATCAATAGTAGAACCATAAAATAGAAAACGCTTCAATGTTAAGTACTATTTCAATATTGTATTATTCATAAATTTATACCATTATTTCATACAATGCTTTTTCTAATGTTTCTAACATGCTGGCAGGTGGAGGAGGGAAGGGAGAAAGCTTTGGATACTCATACTAAGAAAGGAATCAGGTCACATCAAAGATGATCTTACCCGTAAAGACCAAATATTCATGAGCCCACCAAGTCCACCAGAGACCAATGCCAGTCCATCAGGACTGAATGCAACAGTTCGAACAGGAGTAATATGTCCTCTCAGTTGAAATACACACTTGACTTCTACTGCTTTCATGTAGCCACCCTGCAAATTATTTCATAGTTATGGAACACTGAACTATTTACAGAAAACAGAATAGCATCACAGCTTCTATAATCTGTAATAAATACTGACCATCCTTACGGATGAGGGATAATAAAAAATGCAAAACAGACTTTTCTTAGCAAAAGTCTTCTCCCAGGCAATGTTGCTATTTTGAGTACCTTGCTTGCATTCTTCTCCTCCCTAGTTTTGGAATGAGCATAGAGAATTTCTTAAATTTGGTCCTTTTACCTTGGCATTTGTTTCTTGGTCCCACCATCCTTCTGAGCAAGTTGAGCTGGACTGCAGTGTGATTACTATCTCCTGGGGAACAGTCCAGACACACACCAAGCCATTGTGGCATCCTCTAAAGGAAGTCAGGATAAATCATAAAGGTATTAGCTAACAATGTATCAGTGGTCTCGTATCAACTTAAAATATCAGTAGTCTTCACCATCTTCCTGTAAAACTACACTGTATTAAGTAATCTAATTTCCCAATGTATAAATGCATTTCTTTCCTGTTCTCTCCTCTCCCTCCTCTCTTCCTCTCCCCCCTGCTTTTCCATTCTTACTAACAACATATTCTCAGAAAAAATATTTGTATGAAGCAAAAAAAGTCAAGCAGGACCACCCCACACAGGTCCTCTGGCAGGACCCTCCCCTCCCACAGGTCCTATGGCATGGAGAAATCAGTTGGTAACATGACCAGTGCCACGCCTTCCCATTGAATTCTAAAGCCTCACAGATCTCATGGCAACTGGGTTATTGAATTAATGTTTTTTAAATAAAAAAGACAAAACTTTATTCTGGCCCTAAAGACTAGCAGAAAAGACCTGCAAAAGAGCTATAGACGCTATGGAAAGTAAATTACATACGTAGCTAGTAAAAGTTGCAACTTGGGTCCTTTCCCTGGAAGAGCACACCAGGCAATGCCATTCACAAGGGCTGGATGGGACAGCGAATGCAAGCGTCTCCAACATCCTCCCATGTATCCCCAGAGTTTCACCATTTCTTCTTTGGCACACGTCAGAAGAATCTTACCAGTTGGATCCCACTTCATACTAACAATCATATCCTATTGGATTTTTTTAATAAAAAAAAAAGGCAGCATGAAGTAACAAGGTAAGAAAATTTAACTCTTAGAGCTAACAATGTTTAACAGGCATGCGTTCTTAAAATAATCTGCACTTGCTTTTATAAACAGCTTTCAAAGAGATAGAAGGGCTTAAACACATCTTTACCTACAAAAATCATACACTGGTTTTTAAAAGATAAACTCTACCTTATGTGCATCAACTAGAACGATTCCTCCTTTTTCAAGTGGCTCCTTTGTTCCTATTAGCAATTTTCCATCTGAATAGCCAACTGCAAATGGTCTGTCTTCACTGAACCAGGCAAGGCATGTGACAGACACTACAGAGACAACACAAAAATTAAACCAACTAAATTCAACTTCATCCCAGCCGAAGAGGTTTTGCAGTGCAATTCTCTAAAACAGGAAGTGCATAATACCTTCCTCCCTACAGGGTACTTAACATATTTTTGGTCTGAAAATTTTCATGCATTTGTATGGTAAAGATAAAACTGAGTCACTGTAATGACAAGTGTTGAAGTTACTTTGTAATAGGTTTTTTTTATGAAAATCATTGCATCTATATTCCTGACACGGTGAAAAGAAGTAAGCTATGGAAAAGAAAAAGGTAGACTGAATCCTATACATGTACCTGAGATACGGATGCTTCTAAGAAAAGCAAGTTGAGCCTTTCTTAGCATGCAGATATTGCCTCACTCGATTCTACAAAAAAAATCTGCTAATTTCCTGAAGCAGCAATATGCTTCTTCACACAATGCTACCAAAGATGTCCACTAGGACTGGTACTATATAGGAAAACCAGCAATAATTCAGTAATTCAAACGACAGTGACTACATGTTATCTGTAGACACCACAGACAGTGCAGGGAATCTATACTGATTTTATATGATGCAAAAGAATATCAGGATTTGACCGGGTTACTACAAACTCTTTCCATCTGCTGCAGGCAAATCAGGGCGCATATGGAGATCCCACAGACTTTTCTCCTTCCATGAACACAAGTGAATCATGCAAGTAAGGTACCAGAAGTCATATCCCATGAACAATAATAAGAAAAAAAGGAGGGGGAAGAGGGGGGGATTTATAATTTGAATTTCTACTTAAATACTGATATAGGCACCTACCATCCTTTCTGTAGCAGTGTTCCAGTTCTAGCCGGTGCATGGCTGAAATATCTACAACTTCAATAAGACCAAGAGATCCATCCATACGACCAATTAATAATAATTCTGGAGCATCACCTGTCCATGTTGCAGCTGGCCCTTCTTCTGGCCAAGCTAGAGCAGATACCCAGTGAGGCTGAAGATCTAGTAATCCTTTTCCTCCTAGGAGTCCAAAAAGTCTTTTTAAACTACTTCATCTTTATAAAGAAAACAAACCAACAGCTACTTTCTATGGGAAAATATCAAGAGTTTCTGTTTGGAGATAGGTATACTAAAAATTCATGGAAGTTACAAGACTATGAAGCAATGGTCCACTAAGCTACACAGACACAAAATCCAGGTAGCAAATCTCAAGTATCAGTCAGGTTACATAGTCTTAAGGAAGAAAGCACAATTCTTCAGTAGTCAGTAAATTCATAGTTTTCCTGTGGACTGTCTATTAACATGGGCAGCATAAGTGGTGATTTTCAAAAGTACAAAACAACGGAATGAAGTTTCAGATTAGAAATAACAAAGTCATGAATAGGCTTCCTCTTGAAGGAGTTCTAAAGGTATTATGCTGGATTAGTCAACTGCAGCACTAAACCCAATAAAAATGTAAGATAATCTACTTAGACATGCTTGCAAACTGAACCACAGAATTGGACAGGGCCTTTCCTTGACAAGGTTCAGACCCCTCTATCCCAGTACAATCTCATAAATTTGGCTAATTTAATAGTATTTCTTCCCCAGTTGATGTTCCTCATAAAATATGAAATCACAATCTTTTGAACATTAGAAACTTCTTTAAAGTTATCCATGGCCAATTTATATTCATTTTTTCTTGTATCCATTTGCTTACATAGCTGCTTTTTCTCCCCAAGATTCTTCTAGAGTTTATCTTCCTAATGTATTTATTTCTAAGCTTCTTCCTCTGAAACACTTTTGTTCAAATATATAAACCAAGCTCACTCATTCTGTCTCATTAGAAGACATTCCAGCCAGCTGATCACTTTAGCAATTCTTTCCTTCCATTTCAGTCAATTTTTGCATTCTCCCTGTTGCATGTAGAAATGTAAATCTTGCAGAGTACAGAAGATAGTATTTCCAGACAAAAACTGGTAAGAGTGATCAAGCCTCACACCTACACACTTCTGATTCAACACGGACTCACACGCTGCTCAGTTTCCTAGTGAACTAAATCACATCGATTTGTGCCTACCTCTAATTAAAAATGTTTACAAGACACTATGGAGGATGGTAGGCATTTCAACTGGAGAGCATACGCAGTTCAATACTTAGGTAAAGAAATATTCAGTAACTCAGCAACTTCCCTAGAAATAGTCTGTCTGTATTATAATAACATGTTCACAGCTAGTTAAGAGCATACCATTGACTTGCCAGATGTTCACCATCTTTTCTGTAGCTCCAGCCAGATACTTGCCACTAATGCTCCAACAGACAAGAGATAAACTAAGGTCACTGGGTGACCCCAGACTTTCTTCTGAATCACCTTCTCTGTAATAGGATAAAATAATGCAATTTAAAAAGTGCATTTCCTTTAAGCAGGCAGGAACATATAGAATTCATAAAATATCTGAGTTAAAATATCAAGTTATCCTGCCATCACTGTGGATTTACATAATAAATGTTTCTGCTCACAGATCTATATTCTCATTAAAACCACTTCAAATTACAGAATGACATATTAGTTATTTCCACAGTAAGGAATTTGAAGTTACAAAAACAAGCTTCATTAATTTTACCTATTTGTAACTGAAATTTAACTACTTTGGTGAGGGCAAGACTCTCAGGGAAGTCATGAAATGAAGCAGAACGGCTTCGGCAAAAGAAGTGGAGGAGGTACACTTTGTGCTCTACTTTAAACTGTCACTCCTGTCACAATGCAGTTACACTGCTCTAAAAAATGCTATTTTAAAATCTGCTTTTGCTAATAGTAACAGGACACAGGTACGCTTTATTACCCTTAAAGTCATTCATGAGGGGCACAGTTTTTACTGATTTTTAGTAGCAGGAAAATGGAAGCTGAAATACTGCCACAATGCGTACTGTGGGCCAAAGACTGTACCACCCCTGTGTTTCTGAAGGCACAGGAAGCATATGTTGGGTGTGTTCCTGCCTAAGCAGGAGACATTTAATTTGTGAATAAAGCAGGTAATGGGACATTGTAACTATTACTAATAACATTAACTCATTAACATAACACATGTAACAATATTAACAGGTAGCAATACTGTGTCAGGGATAGCAATCTAGTAGCATTTCAATCATGTTCCTCCATAGTCTCACAGAAAGAGGAGAGCATTCTATCTAAAACAAGGGATAATGCCTTTTCATCTGCTCATCTTTAAGGTCTAAACACTGATTCCACCTTTAAAGAAGAACTGGCACGTACCCACTGCAATAAAGAATAGAACTAGAATTGTGTCGCGTTTGTATTTACAATTACTAGTGATACTGCTAGCAATGAAGCCCGTTAAAGTACTTAGTTCAGAACCTACAGCATGGGAAGCACACTTTTCTGCCACATGACTAACAAAATATCTCTGTTAAAAGAAAATGCTGCTCTCATTGCTATCTTCTGAAGTCAGGTTATGCCATTCCATTTATTCCTTTTAAGGCAGCATCTAACAGTAGCAAGCAAACAAGAACTAAAACGATCAGTAAGAAATCATCATGAAACAACCTCCTAGTTCGCTATTGTTTCTTCATTTTCCTGAGTTAAACTCACCTAGGCTGTACTTTAGAATTAGGCTCTATTCTTTCCTTTTTCTTTCTTTTTTCGGACATAGCTGAATGATACAGAAGTACTTCCCAGAGACTCTCATGAAGAGGAGTTACACTCAGCTCCTGAATCCCAAACTTTTTGACGCCTGACTCAAATGACCACGCTCAGAGTTGTTACGTTGTATGTTGGAACTGTCCACTGGAACCCACTGAAGGGATATTCACCTTTTTTTTTATATCACAATGAAAGGATATCCACATTCTTTTGCATGACAGTCCCTTACAGTTTTTACTTCACCCTTTTCTCTTACATGAATTAGTAATATTTTTAAACAGCTTTACCATGATCTCTTTATAATTACTCTAATCAGCTTGATACTTAAGTTCTGTTTTCAGTTTTACGCTATTTAACGTACTTTGCATGCCATAAACAGAAGAGTTCCACAGAAAAAAGGAGCATGTTAGTGCAGAGATGCTGCAGGGTTGGCTCATTGCATTATCTTGCACAATTACAGCTTAAATTAAATATCTGACTATCGTAAAGAATCAACTTACAGCTTGTTGAGCACACACGTTTGCTGCAATGAATACTGCTTCTTTGTAACATTCCACACTCTTATGGTGCCATCGTTTCCACTAGTTGCCAAAAGTCCCTTTTTACTGCACCAAACACATGTCATGACCTACAAATACCAAAGTCATCATGGCAAAACTGGAATTTAAATCTAAAGCTTAAGTATGTTTGTTCACCAATATTAAGCAAGCATCAACCAATGGCACAGCATTAGCTACATTATTGAAATATGCTGTAATAATCAAACAAGATGCATTTTTCTTCTTCAACAGCATTGTGTGCTGTAATTAGAACATGCTTTATCAGGAATCTACACTTGGTTCAGACCCAGGTTCCACAGGCCACTACTGCAAAGAATATTTGGACAAAGGTGTTCATTACCATGACAGAAAAATGAATGCAACTGAGATCTAGCCTAAGAAAAGATTTAAGAGTGATTCTGCTGACTTCATGTACTGCAAGAACACTTTCATGTCCCCTTTAACAGAACCTTCAAAGCAGCTAAGCATTTCTCTACATCAGAGGTAAGCAATAACCTACTTTATCACCAAAAAATTACTTCTTGTGGGAAATCAGAAATACAGTTAAAGTATTTGTAAAATAATAGTATTTTACTTTTTCTGTATTCTGCAAAAGAGACTATTAACATCCATGCAATCTGGGCAGAAATGATGCTTACCCTGTTCTGATGAGCCTCTAATTTTATGAAGGAACATTTTCGTAAGTCTCCCCCCATATCAGCGAGGGTTTGGGGAATAGTTTGATTATCTCGATCGTGTGCTGCAAGAGTTCTCACCAGCTGCTGTGCAGCCCACTGCCTATGTTGTGAAGATAACCTTGAAGAGAGGCAGCAAGCTGCTAGTGCATTAGCCAGCTCCAGAGGGCCTACAGCAGAAGGATCATAGGAAGGATGGGCATACAAATGGGCAATTAAACCTGCTTAAACAAAACAATGATATGATGCCTAGATGAGTACCAAACAGAAATACACAAATTAACACAACATTAGCCATAATTTCCAGAACAAGATAGAGATTAACAAACATCTTATAAGATTGCAATTGTGTTAACTATTAGAAAAAACACTCTGCTGATACCAAGAGAAAAAATAACCCCCTTTAAAATGTCACAACCCCCCCCTTAAGAATAGTATTGCAAATAGCCTTAATCCCACCATATGGAAAATGGTTGTTCAAAGAGCAAGGGCTTTCTGAACAGGAAAACACCTCCTCTGACATGACAAAGCTGCTGTCACCGCCATGTCCTTCTCTCCTTTTACCACAGCATCAACCCAGTTTTGAGGCACAGCAGTTGCTTTTTGGCTCCCTGACCTCTCACAGCAGAGGCAGCACAACTTTCTGTGTCACAGACAGTACAGTACTTTGGTGGCACTAACCCACTGTTATTCCCCTTTATTTCATTAGGTGGCACAACCGTGGCTGAATGTCTTGGCTATATGGCTTTGAGCACAGACACACACACACACAGAGCAGAAAATGTAATGATGTAATAAGGTCGTATTTCTAAGTAAAATTTGTTTACTAAACTATAAGATTACTTTGATTAAAACAAGTTTTGTACATTTTTGAGAGCATATTTATCAATACATTATTATAGCAAATGTCTCCTTAAATACAAATAAGGATTTGAAGATTTAATCATTAACATTCAGAAACAAGGCTGAGTCATACCTTTCTTTTCAATTTCTGCTTTATCATAGTTTGGCCTCAGTTTGGCCCCTTTGTCTGCCAACAATGCTACAAGTGCCTGAGTAACCACAAAATTCGGTGATGTGACCAGTTTGTTCTCTTCTGCAATTCCTCTTAAAAAACTTGGCAAAAATTTTCTCTGAATTGGATCATCAACTGTTGTCAAGTTCACACCAGTGGCTGCAGAAATCAAATTCTAAAAATAAATCATTAAAGACAATAAAAACCAGAAAGATCAAGTTGGGAAAACACTTTGGGTCAAACAAATCATGCAGTTTTAAAGACTTTCAGGTTGGTTTGTTTTTTCTCTGCAGAAATTCTCTACTCCCAAACACTTCCATTTTAACAGGCAAAGGTCACATACAATATGTAATTATGTCCCTGAAGAACACCTGGTCTTAACGGAAGCACCTATTCAGATCCAGGGTTTAAAGAAAAAAAGAAGGTATCAGGTAACCAAGAATCCCAGGCAAGAACTAAGGAGCTTATAAAAGAACTCATATAAAGTTATGCACCTGGTGGTAGGATAAAAAGCAATACCATGTAATAAAATACATCATCCCATCCCACACTCGTATTTCTCTACAATTCTATTTCATACTCAGAAGAACAATTAATTACTGATACATAGGAAATCTTGCTGCATGTCTCCAGCTGTAACCATCTCTTTATAAATATAAGCAATCTGTGTTCCACAGGGAGTTGACTCAATTTAAAAATCCAGAACTTTAACAGAAAAACCGTATCAATGCAACAAGTACATTCATTTGGCTCCACTTGAAAAGACTGCTCAGCAAAAAAAAGTAAAGTCACTTGATTTTTGCCAACAATAAAACATACCCTTGTGCAAAGTCCTGAACTAGAACTGGGAGGAGACCCTCAAACTGAGGGCAGTCTCATCACAGTTCAGAAGAGAAAAGCAAAAACTATCAACATGTACAACATGGTTTGCTTCATCTCATGTACTAATAGTTAGATATAAATATTTATGTTGAAATAACAGTCCTACCTGTGTACATAACTGTACCAGCAGTTTTGCAGCACTAGGAGTGTTCGATGCCAAACAGCCTACTGCTGTACTCAGATAGGCAAGACAAGATATAGGCTTGCTTGTTTTGCTGTGTATTCCCCTGGATCGCTCTGCTGAAGTGGCCGCAGTGGCTGGACTCGTGGAGAGGCCTGCTCTGCCTGCTGCAGCCAGGCACATCAAACGAACCAGCGTCCTGATATCTGTTAACCCCAAGGACTCGAGACCAGCTGCCAGGCTACAGCTGGAACCACTGTCAAAAACGAATACAAATGGTCTTGGTTTTCCTAGCATATTCTAAAAGAAAGCTCTGTTCAGTTAAAACTACTCCCAAACCATTAGTGAACACTGCCTGCTTGACCAGCTGGATGGCGAAGAGAGAGAAATGAAGTTGTGCCCCTTCCCTCCTTTACTTTTAAGCTGAAGGCACATTACAGACTTGTCCTAGCAAAAATCCAAGAGCTTACTGGAAATCATTCATGAAGAAACTTACAAGGATAATTCATATTTAAAGTTACATTATGACCATATTCACACATACATGTCTGATCTCTGTGACATCTTCACAGCTGCACAGGAATCTTGTACTAAGCCAGTTTTTAAATCCTCATATCTCATTGACCCCTGTATTTCATCTTCTTTCCCCTAATGTTTACCTCTAAATTCTAATACTTAGAATCACAGAATGTTTTGTGTTGGAAGGGACCTTAAAGCTCATCCAGTCCCAACCCCCTGCCATTCCGAGGGACACCTTCCACTAGACCAGGTCGCTCCAAGCCCCTGTGTCCAACCTGGCCTTGAACACTGCCAGGGATGGGGCAGTCACAGCTTCTCTGGGCACCCTGTGCCAGCATCTCAGCATCCTCAGAAGGAAGAACTTCTGCCTAAGAGGTCATCTCTATCTCCCCACTGTCAATTTAAAACCATTCCCCCTTGTCCTATCACTACATGCCCTTGCCCTGAATGAAATGCTACTTGCCATAAAAAAAGGCAACTTGGAACGAAATCTCACTGACAAAACACAGCATCTTTATGGTCTGAATGGCTGATACTATTGGACTCCACTTTCTATGTAAGACGTCAACAACTTTCTTCATAAAGTTTGAAGATAGGGTTCAAATGAACATAGTCAACAGAACTTTTTTACTTAATCGTGTGATGTGAATACATAAAGTGAGAATCGCTTTCCCAAATAGCTAAAAACTGCATCCCTGTCAAACATAACTTGGTAACTGTTTCCAAGTGGAAAGGTAGAAATGTTGCCAAGGATGCCACAAACCTGACAGACAAAAGCGAGAGTGCTCTCATAACCATAGTTCTTGCAAGAAGGACTTGGGCAGCAGCTGTCACTCTTCTTAGAGCCATAACACGGTCATGTGGATTTACCAGGGCAGCTGCTTGTTCTCCTAAGGTAATCCTGCCAGAAGAACTTTTTTCTATAGAGCCATGACAACCTTGGAAATAATGATGATTTACATTAGTGTTTAAAGACAAAAAAAACCCCATTATCTTAAAATTAGAAGCACAAAAGCAAATTTGCCCCAAGTCTGCAAATAAATCCGTATTTTTTCAAACTTTCATACATACAGAACTGTAGCGATAATGACAGAAAGGAAAATACACTCCTGAAATACACTCCATAATTCAATTATTCCTTATTTTCAAAAATAGGTAAGCACAACTTGACAATACTCAAGTTAACATTAATTCCCCTGTTTCCCTTTTCCATTCGAGGGGCCTACAAACTTAAATACTGATCCTGCATTTCAACAGGCTGGTCAGTAAGCTCCAACTTAAATCCATGAATCCATTTTTGGACTCTGCAAAAGATGCTGCTGGCATCCACTGTAGGACTATGGTCACAGTTTTATTAATAAACCAAAGCTTCAAGCCTTCTGGCAGTGTAAATGCCTCACACTCCTTTAACTCCCCTGTAATAAAAAGCCAATTTAAAACCTGTCTGCACTTCCTCAGGGCAGGAGGCAGGAAGGACTTGTTGAAACATTTCTGCATTGCCCCTGTAAAATCATATCAAAGGGGAGGTGTTTGTTCTTTGAATGAAATTAATTTTGAATTTACCTATTTGCATCAATGTTTCTTCCATACTGTTGGTGGCTGTCACCATTGCAACTGAAGCACCCAGAGGGTCGCTGTCAGGGAACTGTACAGGTTCAGGTACAATACGTCGATCATTTAATCCAAGAGGTCCTGCCAGTAATTCAAACTCCTCTTCTCCTGTTAGCTTTTCATCTTCGTCTACATCTAGCATATCCCAGTCTTCTAGAGTTGGAGAAATAGAATTAGACTTGGTTAAAAGAGCTGAAATGTTAAATGATTTCAACTAATTAAAAAACCAATATAGGGTTTAAAATGTAGGTTGCAATCTGCAACATACTCATCTTAAAAACTCATCTTCTGATGCTGACAGACACAACACAGTAAATCAGAAAATAATAATCCCACTCTTGTCCCTCTCCACTGAATTTGATCTTTACTTCTACTGCAGAGAAGTTTCACGGAAGATTCTCTTTAGTGTCAAATTAGCTGGGTTTTTAAAAACACAGAAATGAGAGGTCGTCACAGCTAGTGCAAGACAACTCCAAAACCTGGGGTACAGTGAAAAGCACAGACATACAGCTGTGCTTTAACTCCTAACAGGTGCACATTCCAAAGAACTGAAGCGTAGGAACAGATGCTAGAAATTTCTGGACTTCATATTTACCAAAAAAATATGCACAACTTCTTAGTTTATAACTGTGCACCCAGGCTTTCCCAACCATTTACACAGAAGTCAACTTATATTCACAGATCCCTCCTGCTCTATCTCACTACCCATACAGTAGAACCTGAACGCTTTCTACCTTCTAGAAGATGGACTTGTTGATAAGTTCTGGAGCACTCTTTTAGTCTTAGATAATGTGGTAAATCATACAATTGCCATCATACAAGCTACAGAAAGACCCAGAGTCAAAGAATCACCTGGGAAAGGTTTGCTACAGTCAAAAAAGCAGCCTAACAGCAGACTTCTGAGATTCTAACTTCTGTTAATTAATTTCTCCTACAAATGCAGCCAAAAAAGTGTGTTTGAACACAAGGCTTTGTATGTGCAGTTCTGGTATAACATCTACCTGGCAAGACCTTTTCACCCCATGTTAGGTATTTGTCTTCATCTAAGTAGCTGAAATGGCGCAGGAAAAATGTCACTGATATTTTCTCTCATTTGAACTAGAAAAAGTATTAAAATACTACACCTAATCTGAAACATATTCTGAAGTACACTTTCTAAAGTATCACCTCATGACAGGTTTATTTGCATGGAAGTATCTATGGAAAAATAAGACAAGTGTAAAGTATTTAGTATCTTCAGCAACTTAAAAACATACCTTCATAAACACTGTCTTGTTTACCTATTAAATCAGGAGCCTGGCCTTTGTACCTATAAGAAGAAATAACAAAGCAAATAAATGAATGGCTCTAATATTTCACATACATGCACAATAATTTTCAATTTGGTTTACTATTAAATTACTGTTAGGTGAACATATACATGTGATTTCTGGAAATGGCTAGTAAACAGAGAAATAAAATAAAGGAGCTTCTGAAAGTATCTTTGCGGGGGGGGGGGGATTTTGCAGTTTCCAAAAGTCAGTAAGAGTAGGCAACATCCCAAGAAATAATTCCTTGTTTTTCATGAAAAACATACAGAAATGTCAAGACACCCTTTTTTCTAAATATGCAATTGTTGAACACAAAGAAGGATTTTAAGCCTCAGTTAAAATAATCGAATTCTGCAGGAATTTTGACTTCTTTGATCAAATTGTTAAAATGCTGATGACTGTAAGCACTTTTAAGTTGTTTCCCTTCTTTACACATAGTTGTCCGCTACCTTGTACAACTGTACCTTTCAGAAGTTGATGCTTTGGATTTACTCTTCAGGGCTAAGTATTTCTCTCTGCAGATGCCGCACAGTAAGTAGTAAGGATTCCCACTTCCACATTCACCACCAAACCACCCATCCACATAAGAACCATTGCTGCGATAGCCCTGCCGGTTCGCGCTGCGCCCACAGCCTGGGTGGTTTCTCTTCATGTGCTGATTGAAGCCAACCACGCTGGATTCACACAGTTCACAAACCACTACTTCTTCTCGGTCTTCAGATTCACAAACATGCTGCATAGGAAGATTTTCACGTGTTATTTTTACAGAATAAGTATCTTAACACTAGATATAAAACAATATTATTCAGTGGATGTTCCTGCCTACTTCTGTTACACAGAAGGAGTGTTATTTCTATGGTTAACTTGCACAAAAGCGAAGCAGAAATAGACAGTAAGAAAGAGCTGACCACCTCAGAACAGGAAAAACATTTGGTAGCACAGTTTCAGACGATGACATTTTCCTATTTCATTTCAGATCTGACCCAAAATTCCTGGCAGTATAACTCCGCTAGTTCACATTCTGTGGTGTCTTTAAGTTACCTGTTTCTCCTCAGAACTAAACAGAGACTAGATGCAACAAAGAAAAAAAAACCCAAAATCCTTTTTTACCCCAACAATTGGCCTTTATATTTACTGAACACCAAAAATGATAATTTGTGTCAATAAATTCTGAGATTTTGTCAGACTATAAAGTTCATTTTTCTGTACTAAAATTTCTGTCCTAACACAATAATATCATGCTAATACCCCAGTGAAACAAGCTCTCTGATCAATTCAATCTGCCTACTGAAACTTGCTTCTATATCAGAGCCAGGTAACATCATAACTAGGAGACAAAACTTAGTCTTGTGTTTTGCTTGTCTAACTTGACATGGATAATACACAGATTAATAAACTGCTCTTACTATATTTCTTTTCCACCTCAAACATATTTTTAGAGAAGGAAATCTCTAAATTAAGAAAAACTGATTTAAGTGCAAATTATGTTGCTACAGATCAGATATTATTATTGTTTTAAACGGAACAAACATTTACAACTGTGTCTGTTCTCTTACACAGCTAAGCAATCTGGAGCCTCCACTTAATTTCTAAGTGATATCATCAAAACAACAACTATATTATTTGTATATTTGTTATATACTATTTGATCTCATCTTTCAGGGGAGGGAGAAGAAAAACTATGTACATGTAGAAGTGCAAAGCAAGAAACACAAGAAAGCACTATTCTTAATCTAAAAGTGAAGCTACAGAATACAGGAAGATTTGAAGCATTGCTGGCATTTAGTAAGATATTTTCAAACAGACTATAAGCATATGCACGTTACTTCCAATTAAAAAATATGAACATGCAAAAAGCAGTAAGTTAAAGCAGCCCCCGCTGCAGTCACACACACCCAGGTAGGCCAATCCAATACCTCTGGGATCCACATTCCCAGAATATCATTATCACTAGCCAGGTCTTGCCCAAACATGGCTTCCATTGCTTCATCATCAAGGTCAATTTCCAGCTCCTCATCCAAGTTGAAGTCATAAAGTGCCCCTGGATCTTGCTGCAAAGATATCCCTTCTCTTCGACTCTGGTTCCTGTGGGCCTGTACAGAGCGGTACAATCCCGCTCAAGTAACAAAAACAAACACAGAAAAAAAAGAACATAACAAGAAAGTAGTCCTTTTATTTTGCATGTAATAAAGATGACTGTACTTTGCTTTGTTTTTAACTCTTCTGCTAAACATAATCTACTTATTACCACATAAACCACTTAAACAAACATGGATACACGTATGTAAAGGAGAGTTTTATGACTTTCATGCTAAATACCAATCCCCCTCCTCTTCATTTACTGGATGAGCAAAGACCTTGACAGTCTTGCAGGATACTTACCAGCCCGTGCTAGCAATGTTCGCGCAGCTAGATCAAATTTGTGTCTTCTTGTTACAGCTGACCGACTCCTAGGAGGAGGTCCACTTGCAGAAGCTGCATTATCCACATGATCCATATTATCGGGGCTACAAGAATTTGCAATTTACAGGTAAATCAAACCAAGTTTTAAGCAGCCATATACAGTAAATAAGGAAAAAAATAGTAAAATCGTATTTATTGACTTTTTTCCCTTTTCTTTCTTTCATGGAAGGAAAAAAGGGAACTCAGAACTCAAGAATTTTCAGTTCCACTGCAGCACATATTTACTGTGCCTCATAGGCTTTTCGACTGGTACTATGAGAGTCACCTCAAAATAACTTAAATGCAACAATCTCAACATGGATGCTTCCACAGCATTGCAGAAATTTGGGGGGAGCAATCATTTTATGCTATCAGTGTTGACAGTTTCTTCTCCTTTTTAGAAGAAAGAAAATCAACATTTCTGTTGTTGCTGCCTCAGCCACCCCCTCGTGCCCAAAATCTTTTGCAAAATATGAAGTTACTAAGTAACACTTGTTGTTTAGTGTATTTCTCCCAACCGAAATCTGTGAGTTCTCCGTGAAATGACAGTCTACCTGGGACAAAGCAACTGAGAAAACTTCACAATGCACTCTCTCTGTAGGATCAAAGAATCTGAACAAAAAAGAGTTCTCAAAATTACATCTTGTAATTGTGCCCTCCCTATTAACAAAAAAGCTGGTAGGATTCCTACATGTAACTTCAAAATATAACTATTACTTCTAGGACTAAAAACAAAACAGAAGAAAAATGGAGATCTTTCCTCCTTGTTTAATACACAGTTTAGATCTAAGGTTATGAAGGTGGACTGAGAACATAAACTTCAACTCAGTTTCATCCTCTCTGGACAAACCAAGAATTATATTTACAAGACAAATAATATACAAAATATATGTTCATGAAGAGACTGAAGAAAAAAAAAATAATATGCCAATAAAATTTTGCATTATTGCTAGGTCTCTTAGGTAAAACATAAGCAATATGCCCTCATTTTTTTCATTCCTTCTTCCCCTTTTGTTTGAGGGAAGGATGCTCAGTTAAGTTCTTCCCCAGTTCTGTGCACAACCAGTACTGGAAAATAGAAGCACCATGTACACCTAATTTAACTGTGTCTCTGCTTTCACTCATATTGTAACAAGCTTCAAAAGTGGCATCACAAAGTCACATTCTGTCAGCAACAATGAACTTATGAGCTTTCCAGCTGCAGCAACAGATTACTTAAGCAGAAGAAAACTGCATCTTACCTTTCACTAAAGCCTTCCTCCATTTCAGCAGCATCAGCAGAAGGTATATCACCTGGTGACTGCAAATAACAATGATCACTACATTTTCCACTGCTTCCAGAGACTATAGCTCCATGTCGTGAATCTGCAGTCCCTTCAGACTGGGGCTCTTCATCATCTTCATTTCCAGGGTGCTCTATCATCCACATGGCCAGCACTGTGATATTCTGCGCATCTGCTTCTCCTCTGGCACCTGACAGCAGTAAAATCACTATTCAGAATTGTATTATATCATTGATGGTGGAAAAAAATAGATCTTTTTCCCCCATCAATGATTATAGAACCTAAAAATTAAATACTCCACTGGATAAGTGCTTCATATTTATCTAATTTTTTCAGTTTAAAGGAATATTATAGTTATAAATTACCTGTAGCTTCCATGGCTTTTGCTATTTGCCTGAGGGAGAACCCCATTTCTAACAGTGGAACAGCAATAGCAGGAGGAGGAGGGGATGTCGAAAGTCGGCTGCTTGGATCAGACAAAGCTTAAAAGACAGAAAACATGGAATGTAAAGTGCACAAATCTTTCTCTAGTGTTATTTTAGTAGCCATTATGTTGCTATATTAGCTTCAAATAAGGGAATAAGTGCCCCTAACAGCTTTTTCTCTACTGCTTTCTACAAAGTATTTTCTGTAATGAACCAGACACTGTTCATTCTCACTGATAAATATATTACATAAGCCTCTGTTTAACCAAGTAGGATACTGATGATATTCAAACAACTACTTATTTTAAGATATTTCTGAGAAGTTTATTTCCATTTAAAACCATATAAAATTATTTACTTCATTCATATTTAGGTAGAGTAGATAACATCATCCTTGTCTGAATCATCAAGATACCCAAATACTATCAGATCACATTCTCCTTCAGGTACACAAAGAGACCTCAACTAAGCTGGCAGCATACCTGAAAAACTCTTCGCAGATGATTGCTATATTTCTGTGCAGGGAGTCTTTTAAGGGACTATTAAAAGGTCAGTTACTGCCCCAAAAACACAGTCTCCTTATCATTTACCATAAAAGTGAGGTCTTATCAATGAAGGCATCAACAGTGTAATAATAAACACTGTCATAAAGACCGTGTCATGACTAAAAGACCCAACTAAGAGCATGTATTAAGAGCAAGAATATAGAGTGGCATCAGTCAGGAATTTTAAAAAATGGACTTTGTTTCTCAGCACTGAGTATGAAATCTCATGAATATACTTCAACTCAACTCTCTTCTATTTATTTAATACAAACCATATACATGTGGACTTGCACCTTTCTTTTTACTATTATCTCCTTTGCATCACAATACTCATTTGTGCTCTTTAGAAACTCAAGATCCTCATGCAACAATTTGCTCAGCCTGACAGCTATGCCATTTTGTATGTGCACTGGAACAAAGCAAGTTTCTGTTTTGAGAAGTACAGTGCAGGCAGTAATACAGTACAGTAAACGAACAGAAGCCTCCCATTACCTTCACATGATTCCAGACGGAAGCATGAGGAGCCCATAAAGGCTGGACCGCCCTTTCTAGCTCATTAAACAAGACCAACTGGCAGGAGCTATACTGGTGTATGTATCATAAAATATACTAATTCTTGTTTTCCATGTGGTACATAATTAACAAAAGCTAGAAAATTAGTGCACTGAACAGTGGCACACAAGCAAGGAAACAAGCCCAAATTAGAGTAACATTTTGAAGTAATTACCGATTATACCACCATTCTCTGCTTATACATATAATCCATTCCACAGCTTTTAAAAACTGATTTCATTTGCTCGATAAAGTCTACAGATAGCCAATCCATAGCTTTTTGTCCTAAGACAGTGATCAAAAGGTTTTCGAAAATGCTTTGCATGTTAGGTTGCATTAAAAAGAAATCTTGTTAGTTTTCAATGTCTTAAAAACACTACAGTGAGCTTCTGTGACTGTACAAACTGTAGCAACTGCGAGTTTACCTGTACGATTGGCAGGCCTCGCAGATTGGGAATCAGGAGAAGTCAGACTTTGTCTCCTTCCAACTTCATCTGAAGGAGATGTTGGTAAAGATGATATTGGAGGAGTCTGAGCACGTCGTGCTGGAAGTACAGTTGTAGTAGGGTAACTGGAGAACATTTGCCTTTAAAAAAGAACAATATACATACATATTTAAAAGAGCTATGATGAAAACGTCTGACATAAGAAATGTATCAAATAAGAATGCACTTGGCAAGGCATACTTTACAGCAATTGAGTTTCATAAGCGTAAGGCACAAAACATACATTGGGGGTGGGCAGAAAACCCTGTCCAAACAGCTAATTCCTATCCACCTTTGCCTGGAAAGTTAAATTCTAAGTATGCACTTAAGAGAACCCCTTATAGACCAAGAGCTGTCCTAGGAATCAAAGAGAAGTAAACACTCTTCCCATTTCCCCATTTTCTTCAGAACTCACCTTGAGTAATACATCAGGTGAGTTTTTTTACTTTCACTGTCCTGGTAATGAGACACTGTTCTGACTTTTGTCAAATTATATCTGCAAAACCTCTAAGAACAGAGGTCAGACACATCAACAGAATTAATAAACTTAGAAGAGGACTTCATTCAGTGTAAAGCAGATTTCCTTCTACGTCACAAATAGCCTCTGCAGATTAACTAGGTTTATCTTCCATTTCAGTATGTCAGGGTAGGATGAGACAAGGTCTTAGCCTGCAGGATATTAACTACTAACTAAGATCTACTCTAGCTCGAGAATTAACAATTATTTGTTAAAAATACAGAACTTTACAGATTTGTAATTTAAACTCCCCCAAATAAACATGAGAACTGAATGACAACAGAAGGAATTGTCTCCTGTCTTGAAGAATTCAGATGTTATGCATATATAGAGTGTATATTAAAAGCTTATCAGCTTTTTATTTCTAGTAACACATGTGCTGCAAGGCAGAGCAATAAATTAAACTCTGTCCTCTGCATAGGCAGTTCTTGACACTCAATACAAACATTGACATTTTCAAAAGACACGTATATAAACCACACAACTGGCTCCCCACACCATCATACATGTTACAAATAAAGATAACTTACCTAAGAAGACTGAGAGGCATAACACCAGGTGATTCTGAAGCTGGAACTGTTTCAGTATCAGTTACTGGAGTAGTAGCAGTGGTAGTATCCTCCAGAGAGCTGCTCATGAAAGATGTCGTGCTAGAAGCAGAAGGGCTGGTTGTAACTGGTGTTTGGGCTTGCTGAGACTGATCACCTTCTTCTACCTGTTGATCTACTTCTGCAATAGAGAAAAGAACATTACAGGAACAGTAATGTCATTGTGTAGAGCAAAACAGTAGCTGTGACTAAACTTTCAAAACCAACTATCATCATTTAAAATTCCCCCCAAAGCAAGGGGTGTGCAGAAACGCACATCACACAAACACTGCTCCCAATAGCTCGTGGACTTCTGTAAAGAAATCAGTCTGTTAGCTCTTGCTGCTGTCCTGCTGATACACGGTAAACAGTAAACAAGGCCCTCCAAATGACAACAATCAAAAGAAGTCTGACCAGCAGGTTGAAGCAGGTGATCCTGCCCCTCCGCTCTTGTGAGACCCTACTTGGGAGTACTGTGCATGCAGTTCTGGTGTCCTCAGCATAAAAAGGACATGGAGCAACAAGTCCAGACGAGGCCATGAGGATGATCAGGCACTGAAGCACCTCATGTATGAAGACAAGCTGAGAACATTGGGGCTGTTCAGCCTGGAGAAGAGAAGCTGCGTGGAGACCTCAGAGCAGCTTCCAGTGTCTGAAGGGGGCTACAAGGATGCTGGGGAGGGACTCTTCATCAGGGACTGTAGTGATAGGACAAGGGGTGATGGGTTCAAACTTAAACAGGGGAAGTTCAGGTTAGATGTAAGGAAGAAGTTCTTTACTGTGAGGGTGCTGAGGTGCTGGCACAGGGTGCCCAAAGAAGTGGTAAATGCTCCATCCCTGGTAGCGTCCAAGGCCAGGTTGGACAGAGCGTTGGGCGACATGGTCTAGTGTGAGGCGTCCCTGCCCATGGCAGGGGGTTGGAACTAGATGGTCTTAAGGTCCTTTCCAACCCAAACCATTCTATGATTCTATGCCAGATCTTATGATACTTAGATTTATGATTTTAACAGTTAGGATTACTCTCTCAGGCAAAAGCAAAGGAAATTTCAGATATGGAAATAGAGCTGGTTAACAATAAAGCTGGTTTTAATTCAGCTAAGTAACAGATTTTTTTAAGGTGGGGGGTTTTTTTGGTTGGTTTAGAAGTGCTTAAGACAGTAAAGAACCAGAGAGCACAGTAATTAGCTTCAATATTTTACATATTTTTTCTTAGTCTAAACTGATTGAAATGGCTCCCCTGAAGATGCAGGCTGTAACACACCTATTTTTAAGAAGAAAAGGAATGATAGACATTTTCTCTTCAGCTCCTGTTAGTGCATTGCCAAATATCTCAGGAAAAAACCAAACCAAACCAAGCAACCCCAACCCCACAACAGATAAATATCTCAGAAAAAAAACTAAAGGAAAAAAACCCCAAACCAAACCACATCCACCACCCCACCCCAAAAAAACCAACCCAAACCTACAACTGATGTAAGAGCTTTTTCGCAGACAGAAACACAGGTTGGTTACAGCCTGACCATACACATGCTCAGCATCATCTGTTGCTATGACCGCGTACAATCACAGGTAACAGTGAACTCTGATATTTACATCACATGCAAATCCTTCTGACAAGTATATACAGCAGTGCTCCTTTTGGAAAAGTATTAAAGATAGATGAGAAACTCTTGTATTTCTGACTGACTCGTATGCATTCACTTTTTATTAAAATAAGGAATTGGGAAGAAGGCAAAAAAGTCAGTAGTACAAAGAAGTAAAGCATCTTGGTAAAATTACTCTTTGTAAAATTTCTCTGTTGCTCTACAATAAAATCACTACAAACTCAAAAGATTCTATTATTTGTACTATTGTAACTATTAGTTTTAACAGAAATAGTAATAATTAAGCATGTACCTCCAAAGTTTTCAAACCGTACCTGGTTTGACTCTGCCACCAAACTGATCCTCCAGCAGCCCGTGAACCACTAACTTGTAGATCATGGCTTGTGCTCGTTCCAGATCTGCCAGTCCTAGAGCTCTCTTTATCGGTGAGCGCATGACTGCCCGTTTCACCATGTGGCGCATGAGGAACTGCAGGGCAGCACGCATCTCAACATCTTCATGAACAACTGGAGAACTCGCACAGTCAGAGTTGTGACCATTTTCTGCCAGGACTTTTGGTATTAACAGTAGCTCGGCATATTTACTACAACTAAGAAGAACGCTAAGCGACTTCATGGCACCAAGATAAAGATAAGATAGCTGCACTGCTCTGATTTCTGACTGCACTATATCATGATTTCTTGGAGTATGTTCGTGATTCTTTTTTCTTCCCTCAGCAGGTTGGTGTTGGGATTCCATACCTAGTGTTGATGGTTCTAAGGAAAAAGAAGCAATTTCATTTTCCGACTTAGAGCTCGTAGCACTATGTCCTTTGTTGTCATCAGCACTTTGTCCTAATCGAGTATCTGATCCAGCATCACCCTCCATTTTCTGGTCCATTTCCCCTTTATCTTCCGATTCATGCCTGTGTTTTTTCTCATGTCTCTTGGTGCTCTGCTTTCCTGTATCTTCATGAATACCCGTCAGATAGGTAAGGTCCAGCAAGACAGTAGCTGTCAGCCCACGAAATCTTGCAACATCAAAAGGCAGCGGTTCACAGGGCTCCAGATTATACAATGGAGTATCACTAGGCGACCAAAAAGTTGGGAAGCTTTAATAAAGATCAGAATGACACAGGAAAAAGCAAGTGAGGGAGAGACAGGAGGAAAGTACAGGAAATAATGTAGGCAAAGTAAGATGTAAAATATATTTAGTAAAATAAGCAAACCAATTCTAAAAATTAAATGGCAACAGGGGAAAATGAGGTTATGATCAGAAGCACAGGGAGATATGGTATCACAGTAGAGGCAACAATGCATGCACGGGTTTTCAACAGCAAGCATTAAAACCCGGAAGCACCACAGAAGCTATCAATGCTGTGCTGACAGAGGTTTCTGCTAATCATTTAGAAACATGTAACAGTCTCTTACTAAGAAAAACTACCTTGAGCCAAATTTTGTCATCACACCTGAGTGGAATTTGTGAACAGGTATAAAAGCTTAGAAAGAAAACACGCCAAAACTTTTTTTCACATTAAGGAAAAGCTTTGATTGACTCCACGTTCCTGTTCAAACTACTCATCACAAGGAGCATGCTAATGATAGCTTCTGGTAATTCTGTCTCTGGTTATGCCAGGGCAGATTACAAGGAAAAGACAGTGACTTCTTAAAAACAGGTCAGAAAACCCAAGAGACAAACATAATATATGTCTGTCCATCTATACTCAGTGATATTTTTGTTAACATTTAGGACTGTTACACTTGACTAATTTTCACCCTAAGCAGGACAAAAATTCATTAGCCTATACTTCCACACATCTTGTATTTTCTATACAAATACCAGATAAAGGACTTCTAAATCCTCCTTTTATTATCCCAAAATGTTTTCCCATATTATGCAAACTTCTACCTAAAAATGAAAGCAAGCTTGAGCCCTGTTTTAATTAAGAAGGTACATTCTGAACTTAATTCAATGCATTATCAAGAGCTTGCCAATGTTCAAGTGCTTCACCCAACTAATATTCCAAATTATTTTAATGGCACACTTACTTTAAGGCTGTACTGTCACAGGGGCATACATGAAAATTTGTATCTGGAGCTAAATTCAACAATTAATTGCACTTCATATGTAGTTAAAGTGATGACAGCCTTTGCAGAAAGACAAACTAGGCACCATGCAACAGTTCTACGAGGTGAATTGACCTCGGTTGTTTCAGAACGTAATTGTAACTGGTGGCAAAAAAAAAATGATTATTACTCCAGTTCTCCAGAAGATGATGGTTCAACTATAGCCAGAAGGAGCTTAAGAAATTTACTGAATCAAATCTTTTCCACACAAAACCACAGGCAACTCCTGTGAGAGCACCAGGGAGCCCTGAGAAGCCACTAGCTTCATTTCAGTTTCCTTCCCAGTGCCTTCCCTTTGAAGGCACATCTGCAAGATCGGTGAAAAAAGGAGTATCTCCTTCCAGCCTCCTCCTCAGTTTTCACCATCATCTGCAGAACAACTTCAGAGTGTTAACATCTAATACAGGGGCACTCTTTCAGCTCTCTAAGACAGGTCATGGAATGAACAAACACTACTCTGAGGCAGCATTAATTTGAATACCATCATCCAGCCCACCATAAAGAATAGAGTCCTCCCATTTCCTGACTTAAACCACCCCACAAGCCTCACAGAACAATTTCCAGTTCTCTAAAAAGGGAATGACAAAGCAGCAGACATCTGTTCTCAACTCTGATAAACCAAATTGGGGCTCTCTTCACAATCAGGTTTGCCATTTACAAACAAATGCATGCACTAACCCCCAGTAAAAATCTGGGTTATTCACAGACGTCATCAAGAAGCTGTAGGAAATTAAGACAGGAATAATGTTTTAGTTAGCCAACACGTACCAATTCTAAACCAAGCAATCCTCATTTCAAACCTAGGAAAACTGGCAAGTCTGGGCATGTGCCAACTCTGAAATCTAAAGGAGTCTAATGATGCTTTATCGATGCAAACCTATCATATTTATTTTTTATATACAAGACATTTTATTACTAGATAGCATAAAAACGTAACTCACAATATTTGTTTGTTTTAAAAAGCTAAATTTTGCAGGCTAAGCTTAAAATAACTGATCAGCATGACTCTAATGTAAAATGCATGTTACTTCTGAAGATTTTGAAGCACAAACCACCACTAGACTGTGAAAAGTGCAGGAAATGAGCATACCTGATAGTAATCTCTGCTTCATCCCACTGGACCTTGGCAGACGTACTGCCTTCCTTCACCACTCCAAGCAAGGTGGCATGACGTCCAGTTTGCTTGTGTACACACCGACCTCCAACTCGAAGACCAGCATCAACTCCACCAATTACTGCTAGAACAGGCCACACTTCCACACAGAGCATCTTCAGCTGCAGTTCTGAAAGGTCGGCCAGACCATGCCTACTATGTTTGCTTTTCTCCTCCTCTTTATTTTCCTTCTCCTCTCTCACCTCATTCTCTTCTCGACTTTGAATTGAGCGACTCTTCTTCAGCTTTTGGCCTGCTTCTTTAAGACATGTTTTGATCTTATTCAGTCTTTCCATCATTTTTTTATTGATGCAGTGTGTCCACCGGTCTGTGCGATGAAGGATACGAATGAGTTGGATAGTGGCTTCTGCCAGCACTGCAGCAACAGGACTACAGATGGGGTCACCAGGTAGCAAATCTCTTGGTGTTCCACGCATCTGCATATCACAGATTTTCACCTACATGTTTAAAGAGAACAGTTTAAAAGTTATCTTCTCAATGTTCCTGAAGAAGCTGAAATTTTTTAAATACAGGAGTCTCTTGCTGAACAGAAAAAGTGACTAGCATTGTCTTTTTCTGCTTGGGATCCCGAGGAAATCCCCCTTAATACTGATCAAAACCTGCATCCCTTCAAACTCAAGGATGCTGAAATTACAACAGTTCATGGTTTTTCACATAATACTATCTGGAATTCCTAATACTGCATTCTCACTGGGAATGCAATCTTGTGTGTAGAATGCCAAGTCTGTAAATCAATTGTAAATAAAAGAATATGTTTTAAGTTTACAATAGATGGCACAATATAGGAATTTATGAGAAGTCTAGCTAGTGTGCAAGTAAGACAGTGCTATGTGTGTCATAAACCAAAATGAATAATCAGTGATGTTCTCCCCACTTGTTAGCTACCATCCCTACACCCCATAAAAACCCCAACATCTGTAACCCTGACACCCAGGAGAACAGATGGAAAAGGATAAACTTATGACCACTTGCAAAGTGTTAACCCCAGTAAGGTAGCTAAGCCCCACATAGCAACTTGATCACCCCCTCAGCAGGATGGTGGAGAGAATCAGAAGGGCAAAAGTGAGAAAGCTTGTGGGTTGAGGTCAGGAAGTTTCATAAAGAATAGAAAAAAAGACAAAAGAAAACAAAACAAAGAAAAACAAGTGCTGCAAAATGCAATCCTTTACCAGCAGCTGATCAGTGTCCAGACAGTACCGGAGCAAGAGAAACCCCTAGCAATCTTCCTTGCAGTTTTATTGCATGTGACATTATACAGTATGGAATATCCCTTTGGTCTCTTTTAAGCGAGATGATTGCCTGCACTCCCTCCCAGCCTCTTGCTCATCCCCAACCTGCCTGCTAGGAGGGACATGGCGAGAAGCTAAAAAAGCCTTGATGCTGTGTAAGCACTGCTCAGCAACAGCTCAAACACTGTGAATTATCAATACAGCTTTGGTCATAAACCCAAAACCTCGCACCACACGGGCCGTTACGAGGAATACTGACTTGATCCTAGCACAAACCACCACACCTATGCAGATGAACATTTAAGTTACCTTCTCTCCTGGATTACTGCTGTAGAACATAACGCAAGGGTATAGCTCTGCTGCATCCACATCTTCAAACGCAAGTTTTGGCTCCTAAGCAGAAAAACAAAACAAACTCTCAAATTTCAAACACCTTAACAAGCAAAAATACGAAATTTGATAAAGTTATACTTGCATTATAATCCTTGTAAGTACTGAAGATGTCACTTAACTATCACACTTTGCTTTGTATAAAATATCCATGCCAAATTACTATTAAAAAAAAACATTTTATGTTAAATACCTCTCCATTTTTACCAAAGGAAATAGTTCTTGCTTCCATATCTAATACGCATGTGATGAAATCTCCTTGGGTAAAGCTGGACAGAGTCAAAGTTTGTTCTCCATTGTGATAAAGGTTACCACTATAGGCTCTATACAGCCACATATCTGAGGTAGTGCGATGGTTAAAATCATGTACTGGCCAGCGAGAAACTCCTACACATGTTCCTTCATTGCCTCGATTCTCCTTCACAATGTAGAACTAGCAAGCAAAACAAAACAAACAGGGGAAAAAAGTCACAACCAGATGTTTTAACACAACAAAGCAATGAAAATTTACTGTACACAGATTTATGTACACTACTTTTACTCAGAAGCTTTTAATAAGTAAAAAATAATAAGCTAAAATTATGCTCTACCTCTAGAATGACATCTTAGTGTGTAAGGTCAGTCATCTAAACATAAACTACTAGTAATTAAGACAATAAATGCAGAAGAAATTTGGGTTCTCTTCTGGACTCAAAACATATACACTCAGAAGCTGAGATACAAGTGCTAAAAATCATATTCCAGAAACAAATAAGCTCTACTCCTCACATTCACAGTGATTGATTTACACAGATCCATGTAAAAACAGAAGTAAAAGTGTTATTCTCAAAGATGGTACTAACAAGGACTACAATTGTGTATGTATCCGTATTCCTGAAAAAATCACTCCAGAGGATGCATTAACAGTCAGATGGGCTGACGTGTTTTTTGCAAGAAAACAAAATGCTCTGTGAAGTTTTCTAGAGAAAAGAAGTCAAAAATCTGTGTATTTCAGTGGATAACTTTTGCAAGACAATGCCCGTTCGTGCTGACTGTGGATCTTAGGGACAAGTGACATCACCTCTACAAACACGCAAGACACATTCACAGACTCCAATCTGTGTACTGAAATACCCAAACGGCTGTGCTCTGAAGCAGCCACAAACTCTTCACTTTGGGTTGCAAATCAGAATCCTAGAATGGTTTAGGTTGGAAAAGACCCTTAAGATTATTGAATCCAACCAGAAACCTAACAATGCCAAGATGTCATTTACTCAAGAATGCTGCCATAAGGGAAAAAAACATAGGTAGCTTTTGTTTATAAATCACAGTGCACTTCCAAAACAAAGTATGCAACCTACCTTCCACTGGTAACACCCAGAAGTAACTCCAGTGGATGCTAAACCATATCCTTTACCTCCACTTCCATGCGTTAGAACCTGCCCATTCTCTACTATGCAGCACTGAGCTTTCTCAGGGTCAAAGGACACTTCCTGTATGGGAAGATTCTCATCTTCATCTTCTGACTCCCCTTGCTTCTGCCAGAAACAGGACAAAATATCTGTGTAAGTGTAACTCAGTTACATTTAGTCAAGAGAGAAAGTAAATGCATCATTACCTGTAGCTTCATTTCTTGTTCTTTCTCCTTTATTTGAATTGCATGTTTAGCCTGAGCTATTGGAGTCTCCCACATGCAGTCAGACAGAAGTGAGAACAACCGTTCAACAACCTAGTATATTAGAATACAATTCAGATCATTTTAAATCCAAGACAAGGACAACAAATACAATTACATCGGTTTACTTTGCTTTCTAGGTATAAATGTCAAACTATTCAGTGCTCTTAAATAAGCAAATATCTACAATGAGCCTCGCTTGATTTGAATTTTGAATAAACCTATGAAACATTTAAAAGTTTATAGAGACTTTTTGAAGAAACAGGTGTAAAAGCTTGTAACAAAATATAAAGACCTGAGCCATTTGATCATCTTCAACACCAGATTCACAAGCAGGTAATACAGCTTCTAATACATGAAGTGCAAGAAGTCTAGTCCTCAAATTGCCAACCAAGGGAACTCCTAAAGATGGAACAAGATGTTAATAATCTGAAAGTGACTTCTGTGTCAGGCATGCACCTATGATGCCAGCTGCATGCCACCAGGGCACAAGTCTCCAAAGTGTAACCTGCATACATCTACTGAAGTTACTTTTAGTTGCTCACTATGTAACACATGTTTTAACAGGACCTATTTTTAGGAACCGTGCTACAGAAATGCAAGTAACCATTGAGCACACTTTGGAAAGATCATACCTGAGCAACACTTCTGAGAAGCAATGTTAAGAAGTACTTCTGTCCACTTTGGAGATGCCATTTTTGACTGAATTGCTTTTGAAGACACAACTCTACGTAGAAAAACAAGGAAGTCTCCCAAATGCAATTCCGCTGCATGTTGCTTTCGGAGGGCAGCTGGGAAGTTAAAAGTTCTCATTTACAACCTTATTATTACAACCTTATTAGCTGTCCCTGTTACTGGCAACAAACTGTTCCGTAAGTAAAAATACAATGATCAATTATTACAGGATGGCTAGTTGTTAAGCCTTGTTTAGCTGATAGGAGCCCTCCAAGCTGCTCTCTTACTTCTGCTCCTCAGCAAGACAGGAGAGAATAAGATTAAAAGCTCATGGGTCAAAGCTAAGGGCCAGGAGATTACTGACCACTTACCAACACAGGCAAAACAGACTCAACTTAGGGAAGATTCATTTAATTTATAACTGATGAAAAACAGAGTAGAACAATATTAAAACACCTTCTCACACAGCTGCTGTGTGGCAGTTTTTACCCTTCCCTCAGTGTGTTACCACAGAGGCACCACCGGTGTTGCCGACTGTCTCAGCTCTGGGCAGCAGCAGGTCTGTTTTGGAGCTGGCTGAAGCTCCAAACATGAGGGCAAGCTCCTGATTTCTTCTCACAGAAGCCATCCCTGCAGCTCCCTCCCACTAAACAAACCTTGCCATGTAAATCTGACACACACAATTGCTTATAAATGTCCCTGTAATATAAAATGTAACCATTGGTTTCTAAGTATGTTTTTGTTTTATGGGGATTCTTGACACTAAACACTATACCTCGTCACACCCCTGATTCATATTCCGAGGCAGTTTTAACAAGGAAATGCTTGTGGAAAGACCTTATATTCTGATTTCCAATTCTCTTATGAATTCATCAGCCACTGCATTATTTATTAGCCAAGACAATCATAAGCACCATCAAAAACATACGTACACCTAAAACCAAGCTACAACTAAAAATTTCTTCAAACATGAAATTTCCACAGAAATTCAAAATGCTCATTAAGGGACTGTAAATTATGTGAAGGTATTAAGATTTCAGAAAATCTTTTGTGAGATGAAGATGACAGGGTAGGGTCAGCCTTTTGCCATCCACTAAGACCACAAAAACTGCATAATACACAGCAAATGCAACCACTGCCTGAATTAAGCTATATTTATTTGCAGTTTGAAATTTAGATAATTAATTTCCTATGAACCCATTTATGAAAAGCACTACTACCAATAACTCATTTTTCAAGGAAAACTGTATTCTTCTCCTAACTCCAAACCAGATGGAGTAATTCTTATTCTCAGCCTGTTCCTAACTGTAAATTACTTAATGCATCATGTCTATGTAAATCTGAACTGAGCAGTTAGTTATCTGATGACTTTACTTCATCTAGTTTAGAGAGTTAAGAATGACCCAACAATAGTGAAAATACTGTAGGGTGGATGAAGGCCTCAGCATTCTGTGGTTTCTTTCCTTATTGTTTTCTAGTATTTCAAAATTTTTAACAGCAATGATGCAAGATAATTACCTCTGAAGTCCCTCTTCTCATTTTCCCCACTGGAATCTGCCTTTTTTGAATCTCCTTCATCTTCCTCACCTTCCCCTTCTCCGAAAGAAGCCATAAGCATCACACCAGCTTGTGATAACAAGTTCTTCAGCTGACTGCATAATAAATCCAGCAAAGACTGGACCACTTTGGGGCTCAGCTTGTCAGCATAGGTTCTATACACACACACACAAAAAAAAAAGTAAAATGAAGAGTATTTAAGAGCTGATCCAAGGAACAACAACATAAATAGAAAACTTGTAAAGGCAAAGCCAGTGACAACTGGGTCTACCACAGCACTAACTAATTCATTCTATTGCAGAAGGCTACTTTTCCTCATCCTCCATCATATGCTTGGCAGATTATTCTTATTTGAACCCTGTTTTTAAAACACTTTAAAACTGTCCAATCTTCAGAACCAAGGGGATGCCTTTCAAGTACATCCTAGGGGAAAAAACAGTTTACTCAGTTAAACGTAACTGAGCTTCTGGAGCTTCCGGAGACAGGGTGTGTTGCTTTTGTGGGTTTGGCTTGGGTTTTTTTTGTTTGGGTTTTTTTGGTGTATGTGTTATTGGGAATCTTTTACATAACAGACTTGTCAGGTAAATACAATGTGTTGTATGAACACTGAAATGGAGATGCATGTTCTGGATATCAAATAATACTCTTGCTCCAAATAGAAACTACTTTCTCTACTGATATTTTCTTTATTAAGTTAAACTAAATAGTTAAGTGTTGACAGGAATTTGGATGTTGTTCTGCAGTCTGGCAGAGGCCAGTATTCCTCAGAACAATATTTTATATTCTGAAAAGAAGCACAATGTACTGCTCTAAAGAACTTTCACCACACTATCAGCATTGCTTTTACACAGCAACATAAAGCCTCATCATATCAACAGACCAGGTCTAGATACAGAGCCAAACTAGCAAAATGGGGAATATGAGAATACAGTGTTTACAGACCATAAGGTTCCAACTATTCTGGTCCAACCTCCTCACTATATAAAAATATTTACCAATCTTATGTGCACCTTTCTTACAAATGGTGTGACTACTCTTTTTTTTTTCCCCACTTCACTTATATACATCTGAACGTTTACTGCCCTGAAGAAAGCTCACACAAAAGAAAAGTTTTAAAGGATACTGAAAAGCTTAGCAATTAAGTTTTCCAAACAAAAGGGAGCATCTGACACTTACCCTGTGGTGATAGCGAGGATCTGAAGCAGTCTTGTACTGGCTACTTTCAAAGCTGTGCTGAGCTGAGAAATACCAGTTTTGGGCAGCAACTGCAGTGGTTGTCCTAGCATGGTGTCTGTGCCACACAACTGTGACAGCACATTCAGCAGACCAGTGGAAATGGCCAAGGAGACATCAACAGGCTGATAGTGGACGCTTAGAGCAAAGACTGTTACCAACAGAAGACGCTGTTGTGCTTCTAAGATTAAAATAAAGTTGCTTTAATTAATAAACTGTTTAGAACATTATTACTAGGACAGAACAGCAACAGATAATTTTTTTAAATAAAATCTAATGAAATAAATTATCAAGGAAAGAAAGAGCTAGCATTCTTTATCAGTCACTGTGAGGTAGTCTTTCTGATGTACCCTTGTAGCTCTCTTTAAGTCAATGCAACCTCTATGTCAAGGTTGTCCAAGCAAGAATAAGATGTAGATCTGGTTTGTGATGTCGGGGCTAAATCTCAAACCAGAATCTTCTCTCTAGGACAATGATAACTGGGTGAAATGCTTAATTTTTTACTTCTACTTAAAGCTAATTCTCAAGAAGTTTCAGTTCCATTTTAATTGTAAGTGAAACAACAAAACAATTCAGGTAAGAATTCTCATTAGGCTCTACCAACAAATATTTAACAGAACTCTCTTCTGTACTGAAGCTCTCAGTAAATACCTGTACAAAGGCACAAAGAGGTGCAGAGTTCCAGTTACCCCTTAAGAATAGCAACACACAGCAATATCTGGGTATGGAAGGACAAGAGCTTTCAAAACAGGCAAAATGCCCTGCTGTTTGGTTTTGGATTTAAAGAAAGTTCCCTTGAAGTTCACTCCAATCTCACAAAAAGATTGGAGACTTTATCTCCTCAAAAAACCTGCTTATTTCTGAAAAACCTAAAAATCATTTTGAAGTGCCAAAGACAAAGGTGACTGTGGAAGACTGAGGCATGTGGAATAGAAAGGCTGACAACAGTTAGAAGTCTTAAAATAAAAAGGCTTAACACTTGAAGAAAATTAAGACAGAGAAAGGTTAAAAAGCTCCTCTCTCTTAGGAAAAAGTTGTCAGTCAGACACTTCTGTGAATTCTGGGCACTAACACTGAAGTCTGCTTCATTAAACATATAAGCTGTTGTACTGTGTATTAGAGGAAATACTTTGCAAATCTGGTTTTCACTTACCTATGTGATGCTTATTAGCTTGCAGAGCTCTTTCTAACGTAGCAGATAATTGTTGGTAAATTTTGTGCACAGCCACCTGGATTTCAATTTGAATACTTCTCTTAGCTGCTCTGATACCATCCTGGGTAAAATAAATAAATTAGAATAAGGATTGATACATTATTATGTCACAGTTACTGAAACAGCAGAAACTACTGAAGCACTTACCTGGTAGTGATGCAATCTTACGCTCTCTCCTTTGGTGCCTGCATGTCCTACAGTGCCCAAACCAAAGCAACCAGCAAGAAACTGTAGTCTAACAGAAGTAAGCAATGAAGAAGACTGAAATCCTGGTACTTGACGACTTCCCATTAAGGGCACGCTCCCTTTTTCCTCCATCCCTGATAGAAGCACTAAAATCTGATGAAGCGCTTCCAGACGAAGCTAAAAATAAAGGCAGGCAAAAGACAGTATTAGGTAAGTAGCAAGTATCCTTACAAATTAGGCCATCTCCAGCTGTAAGGAAGAATGAATTAAGGCAGCTGTTTCCTCACTGACTTATTTTTTTAGTTTCATTTTAGAGTTTATTTACATTAAGTTCCCAGTTCCAGTTAAGATATTTTAACAGAAAAGAGAGGAAATGTCCTTAATAGACAGAATTCAGACAACGATTTAAAAGAATCCATAAAATAAGCATAATGTATGAAGAGTAAGAAAAGATGTTAAACTGAAACTTACCTCAGCCCTTAACTGCTGCTGCTCCATTGCAATTATTGATGCTTGTGGACTGGTGGACATACTTTCCTCTGGCTCCTTAAATCCTGGTGAGTTTCCTACATCTCCACTTACAAAGCTGACAACATTTTCAATCAAAGTATGTACTCCAAGGGATCTTGAGAGATCAAAATCGGACTCAACAAATGAGTAGGAGGATGTGTATAACCAGTCTCTGCTGTGTTTTAGTCGAACCCATGAGTCACTTAAAGGTTCCACTTGACTGTGTATCGCTCCTAAAGATACACATAATGAAGGCTCATAAATTCCAAATCACAGATAACACATTTTGACAGTAGAGACTGAACTGCTACAGGTGGAAAATGAATATTCATATTAATTATACCATGCATTAAGCAACTCAGAGCAAACCACTTGATTTAAATTTACAGCAATTCCCCTACAGGAAAGGCTGTATTTAATTATGTTAAGCAGTATTGCAACACGCTGCCAAGTGAGAAAACAAAAAGATAAAAGCCACTCAAACTGCTCAGCTTAAAGCTAGAACACTGAATAAAAATGCTTTGCAGCTAAATGACAAAATAGTGAAAAAAAAGATCTGCTAAAACAGAAATTGTGCATTTGGGCTATTTATTTGAAAGTCTAACCATAAACCAAGAGTATTTTCTATGGTTTTACTCCAGCCACTATGGATTTTATAGATTTCATAGTTTTGAGAACGTATGTTATGGGATGAAGTATTTACAGAATTCATGATTGTAACAGGGAACAGAGAGTTTTTATTTTAAACTAACAGAGAACATTTATTTTATGATTCAAGATAAATAGATACACGTATCATAAATACCATCTGCAGCATGTATTAGACCTATAGCCGTTATCTGTCAATTTCACAGGTCTATTTCCAAGTATTATTACATCTGCAAGTTATTACACTACCTGAAATGTTACCATCACTAATAAATATACTTCTTCAAATGAGCATCAGTCATCAATCTGCAGCACTGGAGCTTATTTTACGTTTGATCTCATTTGCAGAAGAGTTTTGCTAGAACTCTATCCCTGGTACAAATGAGAGCAATGCCACTAAAGTCATACCTTCATCAGCAGTTAAATGATATGCATCAGTTAAATGTACATATCAACACACAGGTTGGTATTTTATTATTTCTGTAAATGCTGCTAGCTGATTGCAAGGCACTGCAAGAGGGCAGATCCTGCTCAAAAGAACCTTCCATCTGTTCAGATAGGTCATGTCTGCAGACCTATGTGGAAACCTAACGCCTGTTTAAATTCAGTCTGAAATTTTAGTTTGAATTATCTTTAAATAAGCTACACAGATTTTTTAAACATGAATCTCTTGTGTACAAGCTACAGGTACCAATTTGAGAATCACAACCTCTTCACAGTACTTGTACAAATCTACATTCACACCTCAGTTTTTAAAACCTGTCTGCAGGGCATTGACCTCAACCATTATTTATCATCACCATTTCTAGGGAAAAGTCACACAGCTTCATAGGAATTCATGGGTGGAAACCTTGCTTTCATTGCTGAGGTGAGTTCTAGTGGTACTAGCTTCAGGACCAACTTTAAACACTGCCTACCTGCAGCAGCCCTGTAAGCAGCTGTTCATGGGAACAAGGCAAGGCAGACACATCAGGTTTTGAACTCAGGACAACTCTCCTTGCAACCATTCCTCACCATTCTTTTCCTGAGGTAAAGGCAAAATGCTAATATTCTGCCAACCAACCTGCACCTGCAGGTCACAACTTGCACCTTCACCCAATTTATGAATTCAGAATACTGTGAAAGTTTGCTTTTCCTTTGTAAATTAGGTAGTTAATCTCCACAGCCAAAAAAATTGTCAGGTGTGTCAATGATGAAAACCTGTTCACATCCCACTTCCTTGCCTGTAAATCGCGTCCGTGTGCATTTGCATGGTATTCCTCACACTGGCTACCAAAAGGATTGCAATGGCTTCAGAAAGAACCATCACAGTACTTAGGTCATATTAGGTATTTCACAAAAATATACACACACAAATTTATTCTGGATAATGCAAACATTAAGATTAAACACTACTTTTTAAAGTGCCATCTAATTTCCACTGGTTTATGTAGCACAGCAATTTATCACCTGGTTTATAGAGAACAACCTATTCTGTGATGTTTGACTACGAAAGAATTTCAAGCAGCTCTCTTACTCAATTTCACAGTTTATACATGGTGACAGTATTTAAAACACAGGTAAAGACAGATACCACCTTACCCTAATTTTAATTATAATAATTAT